TCGGACATCAGATATCGGACATAGGACATCGGACATCGGACATCGGACATCAAACATCGGAAATCGGACATTAGACATCGGACATTGGATATAGGACATCGTAGTTCGGACATAGAGCATCGGACATTATACACTTAATGTCAGATCCCGAGGGAAACAGTTAGTTTTGTTTTCCCAAGAGTCCTGATGTTTCCCGAGACGAAGTCGAGGGAAACATCAGGACTCAAGGGAAAACAAAACTAACTGGTTTCCCGAGGGACCTGACGTTAAGTGTTTTGTTATATTTCTAGACTTTCACTTCAACAGCAACAAAAGAATAACCGGAGCGAACCAAAACAGTCGACTCGGTACTTATAACAACACAAATTTTAATTCTCAAAACCACTGAATGAATGATTTACAAACAAAAGTACTTTCCTCATATTATCTGCATCTTTTTCCTCCACTAGCTGCTGTTTTTCTTCTAGGAACTTCTGGGATGACTTTAAAAATCGTTGCTTTTTAGCTTGAGGCTTCGTATTTGTGTTGTTATGTTCATTCACGAAAAAGAAAACTGGCTGGACCTGGCGGTGTTTTTCCCGCCTTCTGTCACACCACTTTCCACCATGCTTTGATCACGTGCTGCAATGTATCCCGAGCGGGATACATTGTTTAATGTATCACGATCGGGATACATTTGATTTTAGTCAAGGCCACGTGACCAAGAATCAACCAATGGCAGTCCCTGTTTAGTTGAGTGAAAGTCTAGGAATATAACAATGGACATTAAACATCAGACTTCGGAGATCGGATACCGGACATCAAACATTAGATATCAGACATCATATATCGGACATCGGACATTAGACATCGGACATTGGACATTAAACATCAGACTTCGGACATCGGACTTTGGACATCAGTCTTCTGACATCGGACATCAAAAGTCGGACATCGGACATCAAACATTAGAGATCAGACATCATACATCGGACATAGGACAACAGACATGGGACATCGGTTGTGGGACATCGGAATTCGGACATAGAGCATCGGACATCGGACATCAAACATCAGAATTCAGACATCGGACATCGGACATCAGACATCGAACATCGGATATCGGATATCAGATATCAGACTTCGGACATTGGACATCTGACATCAGACATTGGACATTAAACCTCGGACATCAGATAATCAAATCAAGTCTTTTTCTGCTAATTGTTCGTGCTAAAGCTTCTTGCGTGTTGAGTTGAGGCTGCGTTCTCCTAACACTTTTAATTTACTAACCTGTTTGGAACATCACTAAGAAGGTTTTAGTGTTAAAAGATTGAAACTGGTGTTATTTTTGGATGATACATAATTTACTGGTGCTCGAAAAGAAGCTTGATAGTTATAAAAAAACAGTTACTGGGTTACATGTACATGTTCTCAGGCTCAGAACACAGTACTGATCTCATAGGAAAAGGCTTCCGTCGTAACTTTAAGCCAGTTCTTTCTTACGAGTAGGTTTTCCAGATGCGGGGCATTGGGTGAGGGTGGAAGTCTTGATTTTGGCCTTACTGTACTCTTTATTTTGCCAGCTCATTTGGAAGAACACTACACAGATTGGAGCTGCTTGGATCCTACTTCAAGACAAGAGACTTGCCATTTTTATCAAATACTACCCTGAAGGCAACATTGCGGGCTACTTTGGTAGGAACGTTTTTCGACCTACCGCAAGAAAACTGGGTTCAGAATTCGGGCGTGTTCCGCCCGAGTTTACATGGTGTCCAGCGGATGCCGTTCAGCGGAAGCCTCCAGTGAAAGCAGCCGTGACAAAGTTACTGTCCAATGTTCAGCTATTTATTTGGGCTTTGCCCTTGGCATGGTTAACAGTTGTAATATTTCTGTAAAACAACAACAAATCCGTTGATTTGACGCAGAAATCAGTAACGGAGAAGCTCAGTCGAGGTACTTACGGTAGCTGTCTTGTAGATCCTTGTAGATCCGAATTAAAACCCAAGACCGTTGGCTAGTTTTGAAAAAAAATTAGCCCTGAATTCTCAGTGAATAGTTAACAGCTAGTTCTAGCAAATATTTAAAGGTATTTTAACCTACTACGGAGGGGTTTAAAGCAATATATCAAACATGAGACGCCGTGTTTCATCACCAGATGAAATCTAGATTATTGAGATTCAAGGAGAATAATGTTTGAGTATAGCTTGGCTAGTTAGAAGCGGGTGCTTAAACTGAGATAAGAAAAAAAAATTAAATAAGGATCTTTTTTAAACAGAACTTTGCTATTTAAAAATTGTTGTTGATTTTCAGTGTAAATAATGGTGAACAAATCTTTGTCACCTGTTTTCATTTAGCACCCGTGTTAATTACCCTTACCAAAACTGAAGAATTTTTCACAAAAAGCAATTATATAGTGCCTGTTTAACACAGGCTCTCCAAAAAAGCCCATGTTATAAGTGCATGCATACAACTTAAATATATGAAAATTAAATTCGTTTGAAAAATTAAAATCGAAAATTATTTGAATCTACAATGTGATTAAAAAATTCAAAAGCGAATGTCTGTGCCGAACTTGTGAAGGTCACGTGATTTTCAACTGGAGGTTCCATGGAGATGAACCGTGCTGAAACCGAGGCTTTGTGACAATATTGGTGTGGTACAAAATACTTCTGTATCATCTCCAGTAAGTATTTTCTAAATGTGTGTATTTTATAGGTACTTCTTGGGGTTGCGGAGTGTATTGTATTGAATTTTAACACAATTTTTAGTTTTACCAGATTTCAGAAACACGTGTAAAAATGCTAAAATCGTCGTTATTGCTGTAAAACTGAATTCTTTGCCGAAAAGTGTCTATTGGTCATTATCCAGTGTTATTTCAGACCGATTATAATCTGACGTCCCGTCCTCATGAATTCGGATATTTTTGAAACCTTCTTTTTTACAGTCGTGAGTCCGCCTTCCGTACACATGAAACCAGTGAATTTGCTCATTCATCCCTCGGGCTATTTGTGTAAAAAACACACGCGGTTTCAGAAATGTTCTGATACGTGTGGCCTGGGCCTGAAGACTTCAGTCAGGCAGATAAAAGATAACTTAAATAATTAAATATATCGTTATTTATGGTTGTGAAAAATGTTGATACTTCAACTGTGAGTGATTGTCGATTATCAGTTAACATAAACAATATCAAAAGTGGATAAAAAGACTATTTTTAGTTAATCGTCTGCTGGTTACGTTTAACGAGGGGCATTAGCATTCGCCTATATTTAAAGAGGGCCTAAAGACTGATGCTATATATATCCTATAGACCTATCTCGGTTCTGCCTGTAGTAAGTAAATTAATTGAGAGAGTTGTTCTATAACCAACTATATGAATATCTAAATAATAACAACTTGTTTACTGAATCACAATCTGGCTTAAGACCTCTGTTTTCTACTTGAAGCAAAAAATGAATGGCTATGAAATATTGTTAACAATCTCCTAAATTTTAAAGCACTTCAAGCTAAGGATTGGGGGTGGCCTTCATATTTAAACTACAGAGAGTCTCCAGTATATGTAGAAGTTTACGTTCTTCGCGGTCTAAGATTACAAGTTCTTCTGGAAAAAGGAACCTTCCAGGAGACTGCTACTGCCCTTTTTAATAACCTTCCTGATAGTCTTAAGAAGTGTGACTATTTTAACCTATTTAGTTCGCGCATTTTTAAATTCTTAACGAACCGGGCACAGGCCAGCTTATCTTGATTGTACTTTAAGTTTTATTCATATGATCATTGTAAATACTTTCTCTTTTAATCGTTATTCATTCTATTATTGTTTTAGTATATTTTTATTGTAAATATTTGATACACATTTTTTATTTTTAGTTTTAAGTAACAGATGAAAAGCCACAATGTGGAAACCCTGCTATTAAAACGATTACTTACTCACTTACAAAATGGTGTGATATACCTGGACTTGAAATTAAAAGCCTGTGACACCATGGATCATGCTATCCAACTTGGAAAGCTTAAACTCTATGGGGTCAGTTCTTAATTTCTTAACTGGTTCCGGCCTTAGCTATCTGACCAAAAACAACAAACTTATATCGATGAGGCTCAATCTGATTTCTGTAATTTAACATGCTGTATTCCACAGGGCTCTATTTAAGGCTTTTTATAATTTTCTATTTATATTAATGATCTCCCTTAAAATAATTTGGTTTCAAAGCCAAAGATGTATCCAAATGTTACTACCCTTACCTCACTGAAGTAAACCCATTTGTCCTTGATCATAAAATGAATAATGATATGAATTTAATTCAGTCATGGCAGTGAGAAAATAATTAACTTTGAAAGTTAACTTTGAATGTTTTAGCTCCAGTGTTTTGTTGGATGAGCTTGACTGGGAAAGACTATAAAATGTAAGACTTAAACTGTTGGCTGTGATAATGTATAAAAACCGTAGTGATCTTTCCCCATCCGATCTGAGGCGGATCTTAACTAACACCTCAAATGTACACACACAAAGGGTTACAGGGGGTTACACGGGGTTAAAAAGGGTTGCAGGGGATCACAAGGAGTTGCAGAAAGTTACAGGAGGTTACAGGGGGTTAGAAAGGGTTACAAGGGGTTACAGGGGATTACAAGGGGTTGCAAAACTTACACGGCGTCATAAGGGATGACAGGAGGTTACAGGGGATTACAAGGGGTTACAAATGGTTACAGGGGGTTACAAGGGGTTACAGGTGGTTACAAAGGGTTACAGGGGATTACAGAAAGTTACAGGAGATCACAAGGTGGTTACGAAGGGCTACAAGGGATTACAAAAAGTTACAGGAGTTTACAAGGGGTTACAAAGGGTTACAGTAGATTACAGGGGGTTACAAACGGTTGCAAGGGGTTACAGGGGGTTCCAAGGGGTTACAGAGGGTTACAAAAGGTTAAAAAAGGTTACAGGGTTACAGGGGGTTACAAAGGGTTTCAAGGGGTTACAGGGGATTACAAAAAGTTGCAAAAGTTACACGAGGCTACAAGGGAGTACAAAGGGTTACAGGGGATCACGAGGGGTTAAAAAGGGTTACAGGGCATTACAGGGGTTACAAAGGGTTACAAAAGGTTACAGGGGTTGCCGACAATTATTCCTCGAGCCCGAATGGGCTCTGAGTCAATAACTATTGACTCAGAGGCCATTATGGTGAGAGGAATAATTGTTTTAGTAAAATCCAACTAGTTGGTTAAAAATATCGAGACAAAACAACTCTTCTGGAAAGTTGACCTTGACCGCAGCGCAATCTGATAATTACTCGATCTGCACGAAACACTGGGAAAGCTTTCTGACCTCTAATAAATGTTAGATTCAGAGCTACGAAAGTAAGATTTTGTCAAATTTTAGAATACTTCATGCACTGCATAACCTTAGCGAAGGAAAGAAAAGATGGAAAACGGTAACTGTAGGGTCACGTTTTAGTGCTGTAAAGCTTGTCAACACTTTATTCCGCAACTGTTCATGGGTTACTTACTACGCAAATAAAACAATGGGAAAGGAATGTTGTTTTCGGTCGACCAGGCGTTTGTGGGGAGGGATGAAAAACGAGCCCCCCTAAAAACGCCTGCGTGGGAGGCAAAGTACTAGCTAAACCAACCAAACCGCAGTATTGATAATAGACCACTAGTTGGATTTTAATAAAAGGGCTTACAAGAGGTTACAAAAGGTTACAGGGGATTACGAAAGCTTACAGGGCATTACAGGGGTTACAGAGGGTTAAAAGGTTACAGGGGGTTACAAGGGGTTAAAAGGGGTTACAGGGGGTCACAAGGGGTTACGAGGGCTACAGTGGTTTACAAGGGGATAAAGGGGGTTACAAAGGGTTACCAAAGGTTACAGGGGGTTACAAGGGGTAAGAGGAGGTTACAAGGGGTAACAGTGGGTTACAGGGGGTCCAAAGAGTTACAGAGGATTATAGGGGTTAGAGCGGATTACAAGGGGTTACAAAGGGTTACCAAAGTTTACAGGGGGTACAAAGGGGTTAAAGGGGTTACAAGGAATTAGAAAAGGTTACAAGGGGTTACAGGGGGTTACAAGGGGTTACAAAAGGTTACAGGGGTTACAGAGGATTACGAGGGGTTCTGAAGGGTTACAGGGGATTACAGGGGCTACAAAGGGTTACAAAAGGTTACAGGGGGTTACAAGGAGTTTTGAAGGGTTATAAAGAATTACAGGGGTTACAAAGGTTTACAAAAGGTCACAGGGGGTTACAAAGGGTTACAGGGGATTACAAGGGGTTACAAAAGGTTACGGGGGTTATAAAGGGTTTCAGGGGTTACAAGGAGTACAGTGGGTTACAAAAGGTTGAAGGGGGTTACAAGGGATTACGAAGGGTTACAGGGCATTACAGGGGTTACAAAGGGTTACAGAGGGTTTTAAGGGGTTACAAGGGCTTAAAGGGAATAAGTTATCTCTAAATGTGACTAAAAAAATTTTTATGATTTTTCATCCAAGGCAAAAACAAAGTCAATTTTAATGTCCCTCTTACTCTGGAAAATACTCTGATCAAGCAAGTCACGGAGACAAAATTTTTAGGTGTTGTCATTGATCAGCATCTCTCTTGGAAACCACATATTGATTTCGTCTCAAAAAAATCTCGAAAAGTGTGGGAATTATTGCGAAAGCCCGCTTTTACCTGTCATCCCAAACCTTGATCGCCTTATATTACTCCCTTGTATATGCTTTCTTAACATACTGTAATGTCGCCTGGTCCTCCACACCGTAATTTTTAGGGAGTTATTATAACTCCAAAAATGGAGTAAAAATTTTAGGTACAGGATAACCCCTTTTTTAGGGTTATTTTAACTCCTAATTTAACTCCGAATTTGGGGTCATTTTTACTCCTGAAAAAGAGTTCTTTTTACTCCCAGTCTTGGAGTTAAAATTACTCCGAAATGGGGTTACTTGTACTCCTTACAGGGGTTGTTTTCACTCTTTTTGGAGTTAATTTAACTCTGAAAGTGGAGTAAAAATTTTAGGTACAGGATAACTCCTTTTTTGGGGTTATTTTAACTCCTCAAAATCTGTGGTCACTTTTACTCGTGAAAAAGAGTTCTTTAAACTCCTTTTTGGAGTTAAAATAACTCCACGAAAAATAACTCCACTGTAAGGAGTTAAAATAGCCCCACTAGAGGAGTTATTATAACTCCCTGAAAATTACAGTGTATAGTTTTCACTAAGTCTCTAATTGCCCCCAATACAACAAAAACAATCCAAATCAGTATTTTATTTCATCTGAAAAATACTGTACAGTGAAACATGCACGTGTCACTCATTATTATGTCAGGTTAGTGACACAGAGGAGAGGCACAGATAAGAACCAGAATTCTTCAGGCTAAGATTTTGTTTGAAAGAACCAGATGAAGTAGAAATGTTAAAACAGATCGCTATGGAGTTCTTAAAGTCCACTAATCATTCTAATGGCAAAAAAAGTTTCTATTGGCTTAAATTGCAGTCATTTAGACATAACAACATGCATATTTTGTACAAACATTTAAAACCACCAACATTCTTACAAAAAGTCTTTTTTCCTTAAGAAAATAAGAACCTCGAATGTTTGAGAACCTAAACAGCTTAATTTCCAAGAAACAGAAAATTTATAAGAGCCTTTTGAGGCTAACTTCGAAAAGCACCTATTACTTAGTCCTTACTGTATACTACTAAATGTAAGAGCAGGGGGGAGGGAAGGAAGAGCTAGGGTTAGGGTTTTAGGGTTAAGGTTAAGGTTGGGGTTAGGGTTAGGTTAGGGTAAGGACTAGGGATAGGTTAGGGTTAGAAATCAGATTAGGTCGAGGTTGGGGGTTAGGGTTAGGAATAGGTTAGGGTTAGGTTGGAGGGTTAGGGTTAGACGAGCAGTCTCAACTGATTTCAATGGTCATAACACATGAGTTGATCCACTGAGTTAAACGTTCGCCTTGTCAGGAAAAGGGTGTTACATTAAGCTGGTTAGGGTGGATAGCTAAAGTTGAGCCAAGGCTTAGGGTTAAATAAGGATAAAGGTTACAAACAAGAAGTACGGTTTGTTGAGGGTTAACGTTTGAGGGACTTCTGGGCAGGATACCAAATAACGTTGCGTTACATATCAATTACGTCGCCGTACTGAGCGTAGGATTGAATTTCAAAAGACGGGTCAGGAGGTGAGAAATACAGAGATGTAGTTTCAATACAGGCGATTTTCGAAGACTAAACACTGGTCAAGCAAATAGTTTTAAATTAACGTTATCTTACAAGACGTTTCGCTTCGCTTTCTTCGTGTTTGACCACAGCAGAGCACAGATAATATAAACATTTCAGAGAGTAAATATTCCAGCTCCGAGGGGGTGAGTAAAACCAACGGCCACATCTGAAAGAAAAGGACAAAAGGAAAACCTTGTTTAAAGAAAATTCCTCAACACATGTTTAAAAAGTAATATATCTCTTCTACATCATTTTCCCTAGATCAGTTTCATCCCGCAATGGTTTTATAATCGCCCGTACCGGTGCATAAAGCAGATTAAAAACATTGTACCGAACATTCCAGACAATCAAGCATAAACGGCGCTCGTCGTCGCGACGGTGCTATAGCGCGGGAACTTTAACATGCTTTGAGGAAAAATAGTTACTCTTCCGCGATCCGATCAGCATTTAGCTTGCAATGCCAACAATAAATTGAAAATGAACGACAATTCAGCCTGTGCAGTAGGACGGCGGCTCTTTTTGGACACAGTAAATTTCCAGAGTCGCTCGACACATGACCAAAAATAAACCTTCGCTATACGAAACCACAGACTTTGACTTCAACTACACTTTCACGACTTTGTAACATAACCTTTCCTAGCAAAAAGCCTGCTACTCACCGTTGTTGCTCGCTTATTCAAAGATCAGCACCTCCGTCGTAGAAACTGAAACACAACAACAGAACAGTCTCACTGTAATGGTCAAATATTAAACATGTTTTTAACCTTTCTCGCAGTGCATTCTGGGAAATCCGTGTTCAACTCGTGCGGGACACATTACATCCTAGCAATAACAACACAATTTATAAGTCTCCAGCAAGGCAAAAATCACAGCCAAAAACTTCGTTGGCCCTCTTTTCTTATGTCCAAACTAACCAATTTGCCCCTTATTGCCTGCTGGAGACTTCTTCACGGTGTGCAGTGCAGAACTGGGCAGAGACGTTATACACCATCCACCGGATGGTCTCTCGGATTGTGCCCGAAGCTCGGTTCTTTGAGCAACGAGCGCCCATTTAAGCCTTCCCGGACTTAATGATGTCCCAGGCACTTTGCAAACCGTGGAAATAGAATTTCTTGCCAAACTCGGCTCATATTAGTCCCCGTTTCGCACACGCTCCGATCAAAACCTCTCCACTCACCAAGAGAGCCGTTGAAAGGAGAAAGATACCGCGCAAACTCGAACCTTTCAAAACTAGAACCGGTTCCCCTCGGACAAAAAAAAAGAAAACCGGAAGTCCTTTCTAAAGCCAGTGAAAAGAAAACAAGAAATAAAATAAATAATAAACTTACCTCTGTTGACTTCCACGCTGCTCCTCCCTGGTTTTCTTTAATGAAAAATATCTATGATAAAAAATGACATTTCATAAAAATAATTTACATATATAATATACACCGTAATTTTTAGGGAGTTATTATAACTCCAAAAATGGAGTAAAAATTTTAGGTACAGGATAACCCCTTTTTTAGGGTTATTTTAACTCCTAATTTAACTCCGAATTTGGGGTCATTTTTACTCCTGAAAAAGAGTTCTTTTTACTCCCAGTCTTGGAGTTAAAATTACTCCGAAATGGGGTTACTTGTACTCCTTACAGGGGTTGTTTTCACTCTTTTTGGAGTTAATTTAACTCTGAAAGTGGAGTAAAAATTTTAGGTACAGGATAACTCCTTTTTTGGGGTTATTTTAACTCCTCAAAATCTGTGGTCACTTTTACTCGTGAAAAAGAGTTCTTTAAACTCCTTTTTGGAGTTAAAATAACTCCACGAAAAATAACTGCACTGTAAGGAGTTAAATTAGCCCCACTAGAGGAGTTATTATAACTCCCTGAAAATTACAGTGCACCTGCTGTTCCAACCTAAATTGTATGTACCTTTTGCAAAAGCGTCTAGTGCGGCTAATAATAAAAGCTGACTATCTAGCAAATACCGCCCCTTTATTTAACCAGCTTAAAGTCCTTGACATATTAGTATTAATTCATTTTCTGTCGCTACTTTTATGTATTCTTATCACTATAATCTTTTGCCTAGTAGCTTTCGTGACTTGTTCTTAAGTAGTAATCAAGTGCATCAATACGAAACTCGACTAGCCTCTCAGTATAGACTTAATTTTTGTAGAACAAATATAAAGCAATTCAGTATCCTTTATCGAGGACCTAAAATCTGGAATTCATTTCCTATTTCACTAATTGGCTCTCCTTCTATATTTGTTTTTTTTAAAAAATTAAAGAATTATCTCACTGATAGCCGATCTGTCGTTTAATTTTCTGATCTTGCTCACTCTGCACTGAGCCATGAATTTAGTTTATTAGGTAGTTGAAGGAAACCTATTAATATAAGCTTCAAGCTTCGTTAGGCTTCCTTGTCACATTATTTTTATAATTTAATTAACAACTTTTGTTCATGTTGTATTAGGTTTTGTGAGTGACTAAATAAATAAATAAATAAATAAATAAATAAACAAGGGGTTACAGGGGATTACAAGATGTTACAATAGGTTACAGGGGGCACAAAGGGTTACGAAGGGTTACAGGGGAATACAGGGGTTACAAAGGGTTACAAAAGGTTACAGTGGGTAACAAAGGGTTACAGGGGGTTACGAAGGGTTACAGGGAGTTACAAGGGGTTACATTAGACGGGTTAAAACGGTTACAGAAGGTTACAAGGGGTTACAAGGGGTTACAAAGGGTTACAGGGGATTACAGGGGTTACAAAGGGTTACAAAAGGTTAGAGTGGGTAACAAAGGGTTACAGGGAGTTACGAAGGGTTACAGGGAGTTACAAGGGGTTACGAAAGGCTACATAGGGTTTGAAAGGGTTACCGGGGGTTACAAGAAGTTACAAAGGGTTACAAAAGGTTTCAGAGGGTTATAAGGGGTTACAAAGGGTTACAGAACGTTACAAGGGGTTACAAGGAGTAACTTGAATATTTACTAATATCTAAATAGGAGGCTTGCCACGACAAAACGGAATTATTATGGGAAATATTTGTAGACAATTTGCCCTACACGGTCAAACCCGTCTGTAGTGTGGCGTTAATTATTCGTAGGAAAAGTAGGAATAGCAAGTTTCTTTTGGCGCTGCGGTGAAGTATCAAACTTTGTTGAAAAGATGCCAATAAGCCTGAAGGCTTGTCGGGACCAATAAAACCTGCATGTTCCGATGTGTCTGCTCACGGGAAAAAAAGACTTGACAAGCTGTTCCGACTGTCTGAAGAACTGCTCCTTTTTTATTTCATTTACAGTGAATAGTGAATTCAAAACAATCTACAATGAATAAAAGACTCAAAAAGCACCAACAAGAGAGGCTTGTAAATAGTTAATAGTTGTTTTTACTTTTTTTACAGTTAAAATTAATAGCAAATTCTTTTTGCTGAAAATCGTTTTATTTCTTCGACTCTCCGCCGTTCAGTAGATCCGCAACACTGAGGATATTGGTGATCTTTGGCTTCAAAATGTTTACAAATTTGCAATTTCTGTCCTGGAGACGTGTCATAGAAATAGCCGGAGGGCGCAAACTTTATAACCTACAATAGGCGACAATATAAGTGGAGACACTTCACCCTAAATTGGGCTTTTTTACGTTTCACTGACTTTAAAAGGAGCAAATATAGCTTTTCCTGCGCCATCCCCTCTATGCAATTTTGTGCCGATGTTCGAGCTATCTATAGAAAACAACAAACATCCAACTTTGAACGGAGGGGACAGGGGAGGGGTGCGGATTCTTTTGTTCTCTGAAGTTACCCTATTTGAGTACAATCTCAACTAAAAATTTTGTTTCACCGATTGAAGCCTTTGTTCAGTCGCCCCCTCCCCTCAGGAGGGGGACGTCTGTACACAGGCCAAACTTAACTGCAAATGGCTACTTCGTGCAAACCTCATCCCTCGCAAATGCTGAGGTGAAACGAATTTTACCATCATTTACCATCAAGCCTCGTATACGAGTGGTGAAAAGAAATTTTTCCCTATGGAACATTATTTTAACATTGCTTAATTCAACCATTAAAGGTGAATGTTGCTGGGTAACGTAAATGATGCATATGATATACTGTTTAAACGAACCCACGTGATATGGAATATAAACTGGAGATGTTTAAGGGCTATTTCAAGCTATTTTTTTTAACAAAAAAAGCTAAAACGTGACTTGGTATAAGCTTAATCCCAAAAATAATGGTAAAGTTTTTATTTTAGATCATATTTAGGCATCTTAACCGTTTCCTGTCGTCTCTTGCCACGGATGGCAAGGATGGACATGGATATTGAAACTCGAAAAATAGGGCCAAATTTTTCAAGACACCAAAAAAAAAAAAAAAAACAATCATCATGGTTATTTTCAACTGATAAATTTGACAGGAGCATTTTATGTTTGGTTAAAGTACTAAGTAACAACTTTGGCACAGAATTGACCTACAAGGAGCAATTTCCTCAGGGGCACCCGACGAGAATATAGTTCAAAACCACTTAAACGTATAAACATATCATTGTTGAATGTATTTTAGTATTCAAACGGTAGATATAGGAATATTTTTTTCTCCTAAAAATTTTTCATCTGTTCGGATTTCTTAGCTGAAAGTCTAGTGATGCGAAAATTATAGGGATCAAAACTTACCTTTTCAAAATTTCAGCCAGAAAAAAGGCTTCCGAAAACTCTAGGTGACCTTTTTATTAAGGTAAAAATCCGTTAAGAATGGGCAATTATATCATTTTTTAGATGTTCGAAAATCCTAGGAGAGGCAGGCAAGAAATTGTACATCAAATGTTCCGAAAATTCTAGATCTCAAATCGTCTTCCGAACAGATATTTTCAAAAAATTATCGTTGGGTGCCCTTGTTTCCTCGTGACTGTAACTACCGTAATTGTGTTAAGGGCAGACAGGTAAAAGTCTCTCGCTGCATCCTTTATGGCGCTTTCATTAAGGCCAACGAGCGTGAATGATGGTTCAGCCGTGAACAGAGATAAGTGTGATCATATTGTTGAGAATTTTCGTGGCTTCATACCAAGAAGAAGAGAGCGTTATTTTGGTTTAATTTGTTGGGATCCTTCATTTTCTTTTTTAGGTCCAGCATTTTTGGTTAAAGAAAAAAGCGCTTATTGACTCGTATAATTCAAAGATCAGTCTCTGGATTTGGGAGATGAGATAACCGAGCTCCTTCAATAATTATTCTGGCGACAATTGTAATATTTTAAAACTGTCTGCGGTGGATTGGAATCCGGAAGTGAAGCATTGCCTCTTGACGTCGTCAAAAGGTCGTTGGCCCAGGAAACATTAAACACATTTATTCCAGCAAACATTGTATGGTTGGGACGTATAGGAAACCAGTGACGACAACTCGGCCTTTTTTCCTTTCACTAGATTACCGGCTATATCTTCTATTTTGATATGGCATTTCTCACGCCAGATAAAAAACAGGCAAATCTTAAGGTAAAGTTTCAGCTGGTTTGTTGTGCGAGACAAGTAATGCTGTGTTTACACTCAAGCGTTTACCAAGGTAAACATTAACTGACTTAACCCTGGTACATTTGTACAGTGTTTATACAGGCTCAAATAACTAAAGTAAATCTGTCATCAATCACAATCTAATCGAATTGGCGACAAATTCTAAATCCACGCATAAATAGCCTCCCACGCAGGCGTTTTTAGGGGAGGGAAGATATACGAGCCCCCTAAAAACGCCTGCGTGGGAGGCTACGCATAAAATGCTCGCGTTTAAAAGAGAACCTGTGGTTCTTGTAGTCCTCGCGTTTTATGTTCTTGTTCTTGATCAGCAAACCCAGGAATCGAGATTGCAGCAGCTCTTACTTTTGCAGCACCTAAAGAGGTCGAGGCGAAAGCGATTAATTCTGCTACAAATTGCCCTTCGCAAGACAAGGCGCGTTAAACGTGCGTGGTCGTGGCTGAGAAACTAATTCTGGTTCGCAACTCTATTAAACGGAAATTTTGTTGAAGAATGGTGGAAGGAGAACTTAAGAATATCAAGACGTACGTTCGCAAACGTGATCGAATGAGACTGACGCAATCCCGACACCACAGGATGTGAAAATCTATGCGACCGCAAGCGGATGTATCTGTCATCCAAACCTTGGTTACCGACCTTAACCATGCCTGCTCGCAGGGTAAACCGAACTTTTACCTTAGTTGACTTTCTATTGTCTTGAGCGATGTTTACCAGGGTATCAGTTGGCGTTTACACACGCAAAATATTTACCTAGGTAAGTTAACTCCAATACCTCGGTAGCACGCTCAAGTCTAAACACGGCATAAGTTTGAACTGGGATTCAACTGAACAGTACAACAGATCAGTGGCGGTGGCGGATCTAGGGGAGGGGCCCGGGGGGGGGGGCCTCCCCCTTGTTTTTAGAGCAAACGGAAGCCCGAAGGACCGAAAAAATGTTTTTTTGAGACCGGGTATCCCCCTCATATCAGGGTCTGGATGACTGCCCCCCCATCTGAATGTCTGCATCCGCCACTGTAGATTCTAAGGTCAAGATATTTTTAGTAGATACCTTTGATGTCTTTGATAAATTATTGCATTTTATGGACTAACAAGCGAGTAGAAATTCTTCTTTGCATTATACTTCTATTTTCAACCAGTATGAAGTGCTACCTTTTCAACAGTGATTAATCTCGTAAGAAGCCGAATGAAGTCCCAACACTCAGTTGAATACCCTGGTAATTATATTTGCCCCGACCTTATTTACGATGGAAAATGGCTTTTACCATGGTGGTTGTAACCGTAACTACCACGTCCAACGGAAATGTGTTGGTTGAATTCAACGCGTTTCAACATTGTACCCGTTATGTGATATCAAAAGTAAAGGTCGGACCAAAATTCATAATCTTCCGGAAATTTTGTCGTTTTCTCTCGAAAAGTCCGAAGATTTTCGTTAAAGCGCACATTTGTTGGTGGTTTCATGGTTCAGTCCCATAAAAAAAGTTTGCTAACTACTAAAGAGTTCTCTCAGAGAGCCACTTTATACCTTGACTTCAATTCCATAGAAGCCGTCAATACTTGGCGTAATAGCATGTTCGAGTGAGTAGACACACTCTTCTTTTTTATAAGAATATTGTTTTTCCGGCCCAGGCTGAATATTCTTATTTTTCTGCCGATTTTAGGCTGAAAATATTCTTGTATTATTCTTAAATTAAAGCTTATGACATTTCCGTTTTAGAATTTATTGGGGTATATGTATATATATTACATGTACCGTTCATCGACCTGACATTAGCGTTGAACATTTTGCTATAGCTAGTGCAGGTTTTTTCGTTTTGTTGGCTAGTTTCGCCGTTCAGAGAAAGGAATAATTTTATACGGTTAAGTTAAAAACATAAAATTGTATTGTATTTACAGATGTTTCAACACACAAAATTATATCTATCCTTTTCAAAATCTCAGCCTTGGCTTTATTCTTAAAATATTCTTAATATTTCGCAAATTTCAGCCTCGATATTCTTATAAAATATATTCTTATAAAAAAAAAAGAGTGTATAGACTGTTCCTGTGTTGTACATTCTTCATACAAGTTTCATAAAGAATGCAGCCAATGGAAGTGTCAACATAATAAATGTTATCTGGCCTCAGTACTAATGGCCCGTTTTCTAAAAATGCTTCATTGCCCTTTCCGTGCAGTTAAAAAAAGGTATATGAAAAAAAAGAGGTTTTTGGTAAGTGAGGAGATTGGAAGGGATAAGTTTGATACCGTATCACTCTTCTATTTGGGTGCATTGGTCATATCGTTTTTTTTTACAGCAGATGAGTCCCCCTTCCTGTAGATTCCTTGTAAGTTGTTTTTTTTTTCCTGAATAACATTGCCAGTTATCGCCTATTGCCAATAACACTGACAAGTCCTCATTGTTCCTCGTCATAACGCCTTTTACAGAAAAAAAAACACATTTACGTCATCTGTAAATATGGAAGTTGTCATACCGGACAGGCAGATAGCAGCGAAAATCGAAGCATAGATACTGATCTATCATTCATCGGAAAGATATACACGAACTGGAAGTCATTCGCAGTGTAATTTGTCTGTATGCCAACAGCTTCTTTGCCATGGAAATTACAATCTTGGTCACTTTTTTCGCTGTAATACTGACAATGTCGGAAGGTATGTGATTTATTTCTGTCAATTATTTGCTCATTAATTTGTATGCCAACCCAGTGCTTACTTACAATGAAATTCGTAGTTACTGTTTACCCTGACCTAATAGGGTGCGCATGGCTCAAGAAGAGTAACCTGTGAATTTGCCATGTTCACGGGATTTTGATTGTCTTTTTCGTAAAAACTTCCCCATTCCCGTCAATAAACGTCGCGTCCATGACTATTTCCCAGTTACCGATTTTATTGCATGACATACACTGCTGATGCCATAAATATCATCCGATAGCTGAGTCCAGACTGGCCTTCTATTATTTTATCTTGTGAATTCTCAGTTCTTGACTTATCTACATCCCAGTCTCACAGGTCTCCCTCTTACAGTTTTGCTTTCGTTTCTTAAATTGGCAAGCTAACGTAACGAAGACGAAAAGCCTTACGTCCCATTTTAAGATACGATTTGTCAAGGAACGTTTGGCACCCAAGGTAGATAAATATAAGAGCATAAATTTTTTCTGAGTGGAATATATTTTTAGGATCAGTTCCACTTAAATTTACCCAATCTCATGCACCGTGATTAAAGTCCTTTGGGAATTTTTTGAATTTTGGAATGTGTTGTTGGTGCATTGCCACTTGCTGAGGTTAATAGCATGTTTTTATAAGCCAAAATAGGTAACCAGTGAAAGTTTTTTCTGTCAATATAATTTGAAACTGATTTAAAAACTTATAGCAGAAGCAATAACAGTGTTGTTCACCAAAGTATAAGATTGATAGATTTGCCACAACAACCTTAGACAACTGCTCCCCATAGCGTTTTCAACTCGCTCAGAGACCGTCAGACTATACGGCTACAATGTATTGTTTTACCCCTAAAAACATTTAAAAACTGGCCTTGTATTCGATAAGCCTCTTTTGTTGACTGGGCTAACTTAATTGAGCACTTGTCCCACTTGGTGCACACTCCGTGTGGAATCAGGAGCTGGTGTCGAGCCAGCAATAGCATTTCCGCCGACAAGATGTTTCCTGTCTTTATTTCACACAGTGGCAAGACAATTGCGTCGTTAAAATAAAACAAATTGACGTGGGTCTGCTGCTGTCGTATTGGTGACGAATTTTTTTTCCTGTATCTATTTTACATACTAAAAAGACAATTTCGTCGTTAAAATAAAACAAATTGACATGGATCCGCTGTCGTATTGATGACGAATAGTTTTTTGGCAACTGTGTCGTGGTTTTGAAGTGGATTAACTCGATTAACCTTGCAACAGGTTTTTATTATGTTTTGCGATTTCATCCTCGTTAAAATGAAAGACTTATAAGGTTTAAGATTGGAATCCAGAATCTAAGTTCCACCGACAACGTTAAGTATTGAAGAATCGATACGTATATTAAAAGTACATATTTGCAATCCTGGGCCAAGATTCGTGCTTAGGCTATAATTAAAATCGATGGAAAAAAAAACTCGGTCTGTAATTTACAGCTGTACTGATCTCAAACTCGGCTAATATTAATTAGACGCGAAGCTAAAAAAAAGAAACTTTGTGTGCACATGACCATGATCAAGACCACGAGTCCAGCACGAGTAGTTGCTTGTTGTCTCAGAGACAGAAAATAAGCATATGAAACACATGATATGACGGGGCATAATATCGCGTTCTCGCCTTCCGAAAGGCAACAGTAAATGTTATAATTTTCTCGATAGCCTGTTTCCAGGGGCACACAACGACGGTTTCCTCCTAAGTACATTGAAAACATTTTTTAGGCTATCCAGAGTACTTTTAGATCTCTAGAAATGCATTCTAAGCGGCACTATAAAATTTGTCTCTGTCCGGTCAAACTGTATAGAAGGACTTGAGTCTTTCCGAAATTACAAGGGCTTCAGTATTTAATTTATTTTCCCGAAAATTTAGATGCAATTTAACGTTTTACGAAAGTTAGAAGTTTTCGTTTTCCTCTCCTCGTGACATTTTTGAATCGAAGAATTTTAGGTTTCCTTTTTCTACGAAAATTAGCCTCACATGGGGAGTAAAATCAGGGGCACCCAACGGGAATATAGTTCAAAACCACTTAAACATAGCATTGTTGAACGTATTTTAGTATTTAAACGGTAGATATAGACATATTTTTATCCCCTAAAAATTTTCATCTGTTCGGATTTCCTAGCTGAAAGTCTAGTGATCCGAAAATTATAGGGATCAAAACTTACCTTTTCGAAAATTTCAGCCAGAAAAAAGGCTCCCGAAAACTCTAGGTGACCTTTTTAGGGTAAAAAAACGTTAAAAATGGGCAATTATATCATTTTTGGGGGGCTCGAAAATCCTAGGAGAGGCGGGCAAGCAAGAAATTTAACAACAAATGTTCCAAAAATTCTAGATCTCAAATCGTCTTCCGAACAGATATTTTCCAAAAATTGTCGTTGGGTGCCCCTGTAAAATGCGTCGAAAATTGTTACCTGAATGGAACGGTCATCTAGAAATTTTTAGCCGTCCTCAAGCTATATAGAAAATTCTAGGCAATATTAGCTTCCCCCAACAGATAATTCATGATGATTTACAGAAAACAGTCGTTGAGTGCCCCTGTGATTCATTCTACTATCGTCTCTCTTTCGTTCGCTTAAGCAGAGTTGGTTAAATGATTATTGAAATAAATGTTTTTCGTTAGGGATGTAGAATTGTTTGTAAGACTTCTTGTGGGCACCAGTGACCTTTAGATGTTACTATGAATTCACCTTTCAATTCCCATGCAAGAAAGCGCTTGATTTCGATGAACCTGCAGTTACATATAACAACAGATCGCTAGGCCTTCAGAAACACAACAAGGGTGTTAAAAGGACAATCTGAGAGACGCATACTTGGTTTGAAAAACCGTTCTCGCTCTCTGATTTAAAGGTCCCCACATTTGCTGGGTGCCACTTGGTGCCTGTGACGTGAAACTTCTTCTACAGACTACAGAGACAATGAAATGCTGGTTCAATGGCGCTGTAGGTCTGGGCTCATAGTAACAGTTTACGTTCAGCTGACCTTCTTTTCTTGCATTTTAGGTAAAATGTCATTCAAGGACCAATGCATTTACTGGCACAACTACTTCCGCACTCTCCATCAGGTAAATACCTGACTAAAAAGACGGTACCTGCTAAAAACTTTAAATCATCAACGATGAGGCTTCAAGAATTTATGGGTAAATGTTTATCAGCATTGCAAATTCAAAGGATTTTTTTTCTTGAAGAGACTATCACAACCTTCTCGAATTTACGAATGCATATCGTTTACGAATGCATATCCCGGGAGTACTTTGTTTTAAGTATGCCGATTTTTAAATCTTCTCCGAAAACTTTTAGGTTTCATCTTATCACCATTTTCAAGACTACTACACAATGTACTCTCTATAACTAGAGAGATCTCTGAAGAAACATGTACCCAAAAGTGAGTTAGTCGGCTTATCGCCAAGAAAACTTAAGTCCTTTTGAACCTTGTTTGAATGAATCGGTGAGAGAAACTCTTGATAATGTAAGCTTATATAGAAAAAAAAAGGATTTGCCATGCTAATAAACCTCTACCCAGAAATCCATTAGGCCTTATCGTTCGAGTTTTGTACTTTTCAAAAGACAGCGTTTTTTCAATCAGGAGCATATACTTTCTCATTGTTGTACGTTCCAGGTAATGGTTGCTAACCATCTTTTCGTTGAAGAAATCGTATCTTTTGGAATGCAGGCGCTCACAGCTCAATAAGCAAACTTTCTGGCTGTAAACTTGATAAACGTTGCTCGACCGCTTGGATTTTTTTATGAATAAATCATTCACATCAGTATAAACGCTTTTCTCCAGGTTCCTAATGTCACGTGGTCAACAAGCCTTCAGAAAGAGGCAGAGGACTGGGTCAAATATCTGGCTGAAAACGAAAAGTTTGAACATAGCCAAAAGAATCCTGGGAATTTATATCTGTCCCATCCTAACGATTACCCACCAGAGTATTGTAGTGATGCTATACAGTGGTTTCATGAGGAGGAAAAGTATTATAATTACAGTAGACCCGGTTATGTTCTAAAAGCGGGACATTTTACAACGGTATGTCACGAGCATTATACATACCCTTAAGAAGATATATAAAATGTAGAGAAACACGGGCTCAATTAGTTTCGCTGCCATTGTTGTTTTCATCTTGCCAGGTAGTCTGGAGAAACTCAAGAGAAATTGGGGCAGCGTGGGCCATACGTAAAGACAAGAGGCTTGTTATTTCTATTAAGTACCACCCTGGAGGCAACTATGTTGGGTACTTTAAAAATAATGTTTTCCGACCCATCGCGACCGTACTTGGACCTGAATGGCCGCACCATCCACCCGGGTTTACAAGGTGCCCTGCAAAGTTCGTAAAGCAGACAACAACCGCCGTTCCAAGAACAACGCCGACCTCGGAGCCGAACACGACGCAGATCACGGTACCAACCACGTCACCAAGTATGTGCTATACATTACAAACCACCAGTGCACCATTAAGTCAAGAAAAAATACGGTTAAACGTTAACCGTGGCTCTAGTAGTGACAAAAGATTTTTTTTCTTTCATTCTGGCGGTTTGCTGTATGAAGGAGTGTCTCTGACTTCAAGGTCTGTTTTGACATCTTGCATATTGAAGTTGTGAAAGTTCTTTCAAGACCAGGATCAAGTCATTTAACCGTAGACCATGAAAGTTTTCCAGATGCATTTGTTTTTTTTATCGGGGGTTTTGTTTTGACTGTGTAAATAGGTCCTTGCACGAGCTAAAGTTCAGTGATGGTGAGAGGTGGTTTATCATGATCATCTTCATCATCACCAACATCATCCCTGCCGCCACCAAATCATCGTCATCACATCATTATGATCATTGTTACGAGTGAACATGATTTAAGAGCGGGGGAAAGTACTCATCGCTGGCAAAGATCCGCGGATTGCCCATTAAGTTATCAGATATTTCAAAAGGCTAGTCTCTCCTCTGTTGGGTTTGTAATTTTTGAAAGCTAAGAGCGCCCTTTTACTGTGGTGAAGTATGAGGTTTTGTAAATAATGACGTATCGTTTTTATTAATGAAGCACTTTTTGATTTCACATTTCCAGGTAAAGTACCATTTAAAGACCAGTGTCTTTTTTGGCACAATTATTTTCGTACCCTTCATCAGGTATAAATTTTTAATTTCTTCTTTCCACTGCCCTTTTGAACACCTGCCGCAAATGATAGGTAAAGAGACGCCAACAGTATCCCTCCTTATTTACTAGCAATATGACATTTGCAGATATCGTCTTAAACCCATTCGCCCCTTACGCGACTGCCCGTATAACCCTCCCGTAAACCGCCCTTGCAGTTAAATAGTTTGCATACTTAAGGCCGGCACATCAGTCTTCAGTTCCCTTCTCTAAAAAGTCAAACTTCACTGTAAAGAAATGATTGATTGATTGATTGATTGATAAAGATGGAGGCCAGGTGCATTTTATAAAAGAGTTTTTTTTTCATCCACTTAAGGTCCCCACCGTTACTTGGTCAAAGAGGCTCCAGAAGGAGGCGGAGGATTTGTTGAAAAATGTGACAGAAAATGGTGGGATTGAAAAGAGTCGCGATTATCCTGGAAAGTTATATTTGTCTCCGCATGAAACATACCCTGTAGAGTACTGCAGTACCGCTACATGGTGGTTCCATCATGAGGAACAGTATTATAACTACAGCAATCCAGGCTTTGTTAAGAAAGCGGAAACATTTACTCAGGTAGGTCATATATGTGCGCTGCAAAACGATTATACATGATCTTGAAATTAAAGTTTGGAGTGAGGTGGTGGGGTACATATTCTGAGTCTTGTTCTTTGTCTTTTACCCAAAACGGTGTCGCTAAATTCCAGTACCAATAATTTAAATACAATTATCACATCTCGATTCAAAGTCCTCTTTTTCTTCATTTTATTCCAAATCTGTCATTAAGTAAGCGCTCCACGACCTCCATTCACCGCCACCAAACAAGAGAAATTTGCAAAAGCTTAGCAAAGTACCCAAAGGCTAATGTTGGTATGTTCACTGTTACAAGTTTAAGACTGGAATCAATTGGGGGATTAGTGAGTGCGTCCGAATGTTTACCTTTGGAATTGTGGTTGCAGTCTGTCACTGAAGGGGAGAAGTTTGTCAATTCAGTGAAAAAGGGGACGAGTTTAATCGAAGAGATGGTCTTGACAGAGCCCTGTTCAGCATGTATCAGCGCAGTAGCTGTAGCTTTTTTATTAAATATAACCCCAGTGAAATGTACACTGAATGTAAAAACGTAGTATTAATCAACAAATTGTATACTTATATTAACTTATCGAACTTATCGAACTGCGAAAACCTTTAAGGGACATTAGACGTCAGTCTCCGGACATAAAACATCGGGAGATCGGACATCAAACATTGGACATCGGACAACGGACATTAGACATCGGACATCAGACATCGAACATCAGATATCGGACATCAGACATCAGACATCGGAGATCAGACATCGGACATAAGGCATCGGACATAAGACATCAGACATAAATGAGAAATCAGACATCGGACATCGAACATCAGACATCAGACATCAGACATCGGATGTCAAAGATCAGACATCAGACATCGGATATCAGACATCAGACATCAGACATCGGACATCAGACATCGGACATCGGACACTGGACACCGGACACCGGATATCAGACATCGGACATCGGACATCAAACATTAGAGATCAGACATCATACATCGGACATCGGACATCGGACATCAGACATCGGACATTGGACATTGGACATTAAACATCAGGGCGGATAAAACGAGCGCGTCCGAGCAAAAAGGTGTGATGCAGTGGACTGGGACTCTGCTTAGAAATGTCGCCTGTTTTCGACTTCGGTCAGGGCTTGCGATGTGGTTTGTACATTAGACACTGCCGCTGTCACTGAATTATGGCGGCTTGATTTGTTTTCGTACACTTCTTCCTCGTTCCTTTGTGCTGGTACGCTGTCTCCGAGAGGAAAATGTTGCTATTTTTTTTGCGGGAGGTTTAGTTGGAGTAGACAAACATCTCTTTCAAAGGGTTTCTTTTATTAGTCCACGACTCTACCACTGAATTATATTTTCGTTCTGCTACTCGCCAATGTCGATGTTATTCCAAAACAAAAACAACTAAGTACTGTCTAAAACACGAAGGAAAATCTCATCCATGTCATCCATGGCAAAAATAAAAGACCGCAGATCGTGTTTCATAACTAGATGACGTGTATTTTATAAATGCGTGCAGCTCGTGCAAGGTGCAATTATGCTAATTTCAATCATCATCATCCTTCCTTTTAATTTTGAAAAAAACATCTCATACGTCTATCTGCTTCTTCGAAACTTCAAAATTAGTTTCCCCTCAGATTTTACTGTTTACCTTGTTTCGTTTTAGAGAGAAAAACGGAGAAAAACCTAACAACTAACCTCAATAAATTTTGTTTACATGCGGTTGCCGGATTTGCAACGCATTGCGCGAATCGCCATGTCGCGTTCGTCGCACCGAGAAGCAAAGCTTGAAGAAGTACAACGCCACTATATCAATATATATCAATCTAATTTTTTGTTAACTTATATAAAATTTATCCCCCTTTAACATGTGTAAAAATCGAGGTTAAGAAGTGTTAAGCTTTTGCAAACGAAACGGCGAAAGACGGTTAGGTGATATTTAGTGGAAGGAGGAGGTATTCAACACTTTCAAATTAAACTCAAATTTTGGCATTATACTGGACCAACAGGTTTGACTTATAGACGTACAGACACAAACATATGAAACTGTTTATTGATATTGTTATGAAACGAATTTATCTATTTAACATTGTAGCCTGAAATTACAGAAAGAAAATAGGATTTCCGGTTTGCAAAAAGGAAAATTTCGCCGGCCTTGAAGCGCACCGGAAGCGCGGAAAGAGCGCTCGTGCCAGTCCTACTCCGCATCACGCATTAAATGAAGAGCGGAGCGCTCGTTTCACCACCCAACCTTTATCCGCCCTGTTAAACATCAGACTTCGGACATCGGACTTTGGACATGGGTCTTCTGACATCGGACATCAATCGTCGGACGTCGGATATCGGATATCAGATATCGGACATAGGACATCGGACATCGGACATCGGACTTCAAACATCGGAAATCGGACATTAGACATCGGACATTGGATATGGGACATCGGAATTCGGACATAGAGCATCGGACATTGGACATTAAACATCAGACTTCGGACATCGGATACCGGACATCAAACATTAGACATCAGACATCATACATCGGACATCGGACATTAGACAGCGGACATTGGACATTAAACATCAGACTTCGGACATCGGACTTTGGACATCAGTCTTCTGACATCGGACATCAAAAGTCGGACATCGGACACCAAACATTAGAGATCAGACATCATACATCGGACATAGGACATCGGACATCAGACATGGGACATCTGTTATGGGACATCGGAATTCGGACATAGAGCATCGGACATCGGACATCAAACATCGAACATCGGATATCCGATATCAGATATCAGACTTCGGACATTGGACATCTGACATCAGACATTGGACATTAAACCTCGGACATCAAATAATCAAATCAAGTCTTTTTCTGCTAATTGTTCGTGCTAAAGCTTCTTGCGTGTTGAGTTTAGGCTGCGCTCTCCTAACACTTTTAATTTACTAACCTGTTTGGAACATGACTAAGAAGGTTTTAGTGTTAAAAGATTGAAACTGGTGTTATTTTTGATGATACATAATTTACTGGTGCTCGAAAAGAAGCTTGATAGTTATAAAAAAACAGTTCCTGAGTTACATGTACATGTTCTCTGGCTCAGAACACAGTACTGATCTCATAGGAGAAGGCTCCCGTCGCAACTTTAAAGGGACAGTGTCCCGATTATGCGCACGCGCGAGCGTCATCTGTTTTTTCTTCAAAAGACAATAGAACTGTCATATTGACTTGACAAGATTTCTTTCCGGACCGCACCGCCGACGGAGTAGACTGCAAAACAGTCCGTATTTTTGCGTATTCAAGTACGTGCGAGCAGTCAAACAAAAGGTCTGGAATGAGGCTGAAAACAGAGAGCGAGACTGGGGCGAGACGCTAAAATACGGACTGTCCGTTTTGCATACGTTATATTCGTTCGAATTACCCGCTTCTCCCAGCCACGGGCAATTCCCATTGGCTAAATTTCGATGCAAGCTGTCACCAAGCTGTCAAGTAATGTTTTCAACACGTCATTCACGTTGTTCCATACCGTGATGAATTGCTAAAGCTTTCGCTGTAAAATGACAGATGTTGATCGCCTGGATTTTCTCGCAAGAATTGGGATTTGTGTTAAAATCGGAGCAGAGGGAAGCTTCGGAGTTGCTACTCAGGGGAAAGGATGTTTTCTGTGTTCTACCAACAGGATTTGACAAAAGCCTTATTTATCGGATGTTTGTTCATGCAAAGAGTTCTTCAAGTTCCGCGCAACGGCCGACCGTCATTGTTATCTCGCCTGGCTAAAAAAGCGGGATCGGTAGGAAACACACGACTTTTACCTCATGCAAACATGCCGCTTGTTCCAATGAATTGTTTTCTCTGTCGAGTAGATCATGCTTTGGTAGGCATGATTTGCCCCCTGACGCAAGAGCATTTTCTTTCTTATCCCCTTTAGAAATGTATAGCTCCTTCATTGCGGCTGATTAAGGGTTTTAGGTTGTTTTATTTGTCCAAAGTGCCACCTGGATTTGAATAATTTTAAGTGATTTTCTTTGTGTCCGTGAATGTGACTTTTTTCTGCAATGTTTTGTCACGCTGGGCCCAGCTCGTTAGCGTTTTTGGCAGGATTTTAAATTCTCACAGATAGTAATTTACAGAGCTAAATCACCAAGACGTGGTTTGGAATGAGGGGATTTACTCATTCTTTTCAATCGCAATAATTGTTCATTGTCAGTTGCCGTGTTCAGTTCTTCTCTAATTTTCGAAAGCATCGCCGTGTAGTTTCCCGGGCTAACCGTTGTTCCGCACGGAGAGCAAACTGCTCTTGTGGAGAAAGATTCTCCTTCCTCGAGGACAACGAAAAGTTCGTTTTTCAGTAGGTCGGCCCACTTTGGCAACGTTTCCCCTTTTCTGGTAGGCGCAACAAACGCATTTTCCGAGCTTATCCATCCATTCGTAAAATTACCGAACTGTGTTTTCAAACAACAGCCGCACATTCTACAATTTGTCCAAAGCCCTCGGCTCTTTCGGCTTTCTCCCTCTTCGAGGAGCAGGCACAGGATTTGTTGTCGTACTGTCACTTTCACTCATTTTTGATCCTCCACTATATATACTACATTTCACTATATACACTACATTTCACAGGGAAGCAACGCTAAAAACTGCTTGAGAATTACTGGATTACAGTGTCAATAATAACACGCGAGTCTATCAAATTCACAAAGAGGGCGGAGTTGCGAACAGATTTTTGACAGCTCGACGACATTTTTGAACCCCCTGGTCGGAACGAACTCATTGTATGGAAAACGGACAGTCGGTTTTTTTTCTCTCGCCTCACACGTGTGAGGCTCGCGTGCGTCGCGCGCGTAAGACTCTTTCGCCACGCTTTAACGATTTCTTTACTAATTTTGAGAAAAAAACCGACTGTTTTGCATTCTACCGACGGAGATTTGTCTGATTTGTTGTTTATATTCTCAAGTAATATTTTAGACTTTCGAAGAAGTCTTTCGTCTTATATAAAAATTGGCTCGCGGTTAGAAGACTCATCGCGATTTTATCGCTAGCTGGGCCGCCTCCCGACCCGAAAATCTCGTTCCGCTCGCTTTAAAAACATATTTTCTAATTTGAAACTCATGTCAGAGGTCAATTGTTCCAAGTCTAGTAATATCTGCCTGATTTGCTCGCGTTCTAGCCTCAAACGTTTGAAAAACATAAATAAAAATGCAATCTCAACGCTATGAATCATCACAAAGGTTAGTCAAAAATTCTATTATGATTTGATGGCACTAGTTTTCGTAAACATGTAGCTCCTGTTAGTCTGATTTTGCCGGCCGTGGGGAGATTCATTTGAAAGTTTACTAACGCGTCGTTGCAAAACAGTCTGCTTCACGAAGCTCCCCTCCACAAGATCTCCTCAGTCACATCAACGTCTCAATGGTTTCTTTCTTACAGTCTTTATTGTTGCTGTTTTATTTCTGCGTGTTCCTTCCACAATTATCTGAGCTTGTATGGAAGCTAGCAGAAGAAATAAGCCATCAATCGGCATCAAAGTGCTTCCAATCTTTTGGTCCTCCGGCCAACGGAAATAAAAGTAACGCCAAAACACCCAGATTTTGCCCAAATCGAAACTGAACAGGAACAATATATCATTGATCTGTAATCCTCAGAAGTTTTAGTGTCGTATTGAACCCGGCCAAGCGCGATGATTCAAGGTTCTCTTACTCTTCTCGCATCTTTTGATTTCGCGACGTCCTGTCCAAAAATCAAAGTTTGGTGCATGCGCAGTAACGGGATACTGTTCCTTTAAGCCAGTTCTTTCTTACGAGTAGATTTTCCAGATGCGGGGCATTGGGTGAGGGTGGAAGTCTTGATTTTGGCCTTACCGTACTTTTTATTTTGCCAGCTCATTTGGAAGAACACTACACAGATTGGAGCTGCTTGGATCCTACTTCAAGACAAGAGACTTGCCATTTTTATCAAATACTACCCTGAAGGCAACATTGCGGGCTACTTTGGTAGGAACGTTTTTCGACCTACTGCAAGAAAACTGGGTTCAGAATTGGGGCGTGTTCCGCCCGAGTTTACATGGTGTCCAGCGGATGCCGTTCAGCGGAAGCCTCCAGTGAAAGCAGCCGTGACAAAGTTACTGTCCAATGTTCAGCTATTTATTTGGGCTTTGCCCTTGGCATTGTTAACAGTTGTAATATTTCTGTAAAACAACAACAAATCCGTTGTTGATTCTGACGCAGAGTTCAGTAACGGAGAAGCTCAGTCGAGGTACTTACAGTAGCTGTCTTGTAGATCCTTGTAGATCCGAATTAAAATCCAACATCGTTGGCTAGTTTTGAAAAAAAATAAGCCCTGAATTCTCAGTGAATAGTCAACAGCTAATTCTAGCAAATATTTAAAGGTATTTTAACCTACTACGGAGGGGTTTAAAGCAGTATATCAAGCATGAGACGCCGTTTTTCATCACCAGATGAAATCTAGATTATTGAGATTCAAGGAGAATAATGTTTGAGTATAGCTTGGCTAGTTAGAAGCGGGTGCTTAAAGGCCCATGTTCACCCTAGATGCATTGTGCGCCCTGTACTCCAGAAAAAACATTTCGCGTAGTTGAAAATCGCTGCCTTTAGTATGTAAAGTCAATCTTTCTTAATCTTCCACAGTTCGCTAAATCTGGTTTAAAAGAAAGTCTCAACAAGTTCTTTTGGTATTTTCCTTTATATCTTTTTGGATATTTTGGAATGGTATCGAGCCTTTTTGTTTCTGTGAGTGTTTGTTTCACTGCAGCACTATCGATGGCGGCTCCATCGAAACAGACGGTTGGAAGCATGGTTGGAAGACCGCGTCGACGGGGGTCGCCGAAGTACATTCGTCTCCGTGAATCCGTTTTTTAATCCCTGGAGAGATGGGAAAGAAACTCTTGGCTGTAAATTCTACAGACAGCGTGTTTGCCGAGTTCCTTCTACATCGAATGTTCAATTGTAAACGAGGGTCCCGTTGAAATCAGTTGAAAGCAAAACAAGCGAGTCAATCTAACATGAACAATGCTTTATTTAATTTAACCTATGAAGGGAGTGATATCCTTAACGTAAACGTATTGTCTGGCGTATCACGATTATAGCCGGCTCTAAAGTAGCGAGAACTCTAGCAAACCAATCCTTAGCAAAACCTAAAGAAAGTGTAATACAGCGATTACAGCGACAAGACTGTACGCAGTGCCGATTCGACGCTTTGCAAACACAACTTCTCGCTTACTCTTTCGAGAACACATACCTAAGCTTCCTAAGAATTAACAAAATAATAGATTGAGGAATCAAAACATTTCACAGTCGAATCGGGCTTCAGGAAAACCTCACCTGGTGCTTAGACGTTTCGTAATTTATGACCTTCATTGTGTTCATCGGACTCATCCATATGCATTCACTACCAGTTTAAATTTTGAACTACTTTCTACGGTGACATTTAACGAAGTCGGCGATATATCTTCCTCCATTTGGAAAAGAATTAAAAGTTTTACTGGCCTCTTTGATACTGTCTCTCTAAGCTTTGGTCAAACGTGAAAAAAGCTGCAATAATTATTGTAGTCTCCCTCGCAGTCGTTTTTAGTATCGTCACGCAACGCTCCTCAAAGTGGAAGCCAATCAAAACACTGCATTTGACAAAAGAATCGTTTCAAAACAAAAACACAAGCGCGCAAAGCCGTTTGGGTGAACATGGGCCTTTAAACTGAGATCAGAAAAAAAATTAAATAAGGATCTTTTTTAAACAGAACTTTGCTATTTAAAAATTGTTGTTGATTTTCAGTGTAAATAATGGTGAACAAATCTTTGTCACCTGTTTTCATTTAGCACCCGTGTTAATTACCCTTACCAAACTGAAGAATTTTTCACAAAAAGCAATTATATAGTGTCTGTTTAACCCAGGCTCTCCAAAAAAGCCCATGTTATAAGTGCATGCATACAACTTAAATATATGAAAATTAAATTCGTTTGAAAAATTAAAATCGAAAATTATTTGAATCTACAATGTGATTAAAAAATGCAAAAGCGAATGTCTGTGCCGAACTTGTGAAGGTCACGTGATTTTAAAAACTGGAGGTTCCATGGAGATGAACCGTGCTGAAACCGAGGCTTTGTGACAATATTGGTGTGGTACAAAATACTTCTGTATCATCTCCAGTAAGTATTTTCTAAATGTGTGTATTTTATAGGTACTTCTTGGGGTTGCGGAGTGTATTGTATTGAATTTTAACACAATTTTTAGTTTTACCAGATTTCAGAAACACGTGTAAAAATGCTAAAATCGTCGTTATTGCTGTAAAACTGAATTCTTTGCCGAAAAGTGTCTATTGGTCATTATCCAGTGTTATTTCAGACCGATTATAATCTGACGTCCCGTCCTCATGAATTCGGATATTTTTGAAACCTTCTTTTTTACAGTCGTGAGTCCGCCTTCCGTACACATGAAACCAGTGAATTTGCTCATTCATCCCTCGGGCTATTTGTGTAAAAAACACACGCGGTTTCAGAAATGTTCTGATACGTGTGGCCTGGGCCTGAAGACTTCAGTCAGGCAGATAAAAGATAACTTAAATAATTAAATATATCGTTATTTATGGTTGTGAAAAAATGTTGATACTTCAACTGTGAGTGATTGTCGATTATCAGTTAACATAAACAATATCAAAAGTGGATAAAAAGACTATTTTTAGTTAATCGTCTGCTGGTTACGTTTAACGAGGGGCATTAGCATTCGCCTATATTTAAAGAGGGCCTAAAGACTGATGCTATATATATCCTATAGACCTATCTCGGTTCTGCCTGTAGTAAGTAAATTAATTGAGAGAATTGTTCTATAACCAACTATATGAATATCTAAATAATAACAACTTGTTTACTGAATCACAATCTGGCTTAAGACCTCTGTTTTCTACTTGAAGCAACAAATGAATAGCTATGAAATATTGTTAACAATCTCCTAAATTTTAAAGCACTTCAAGCTAAGGATTGGGGGTGGCCTTCATATTTAAACTACAGAGAGTCTCCAGTATATGTAGAAGTTTACGTTCTTCGCGGTCTAAGATTACAAGTTCTTCTGGAAAAAGGAACCTTCCAGGAGACTGCTACTGCCCTTTTTAATAACCTTCCTGATAGTCTTAAGAAGTGTGACTATTTTAACCTATTTAGTTCGCGCATTTTTAAATTCTTAACGAACCGGGCACAGGCCAGCTTATCTTGATTGTACCTTAAGTTTTATTCATATGATCATTGTAAATACTTTCTCTTTTAATCGTTATTCATTCTATTATTGTTTTAGTATATTTTTTTTTGTAAATATTTGATACACATTTTTATTTTTAGTTTTAAGTAACAGATGAAAAGCCACAATGTGGAAACCCTGCTATTAAAACGATTACTTACTCACTTACAAAATGGTGTGATATACCTGGACTTGAAATTAAAAGCCTGTGACACCATGGATCATGCTATCCAACTTGGAAAGCTTAAACTCTATGGGGTCAGTTCTTAATTTCTTAACTGGTTCCGGCCTTAGCTATCTGACCAAAAGCAACAAACTTATATCGATGAGGCTCAATCTGATTTCTGTAATTTAACATGCTGTATTCCACAGGGCTCTATTTAAGGCTTTTTATAATTTTCTATTTATATTAATGATCTCCCTTAAAATAATTTGGTTTCAAAGCCAAAGATGTATCCAAATGTTACTACCCTTACCTCACTGAAGTAAACCCATTTGTCCTTGATCATAAAATGAATAATGATATGAATTTAATTCAGTCATGGCAGTGAGAAAATAATTAACTTTGAAAGTTAACTTTGAATGTTTTAGCTCCAGTGTTTTGTTGGATGAGCTTGACTGGGAAAGACTATAAAGTTTAAGACTTAAACTGTTGGCTGTGATAATGTATAAAAACCGTAGTGATCTTTCCCCATCCGATCTGAGGCGGATCTTAACTAACACCTCAAATGTACACACACAAAGGGTTACAGGGGGTTACACGGGGTTAAAAAGGGTTGCAGGGGATCACAAGGAGTTGCAGAAAGTTACAGGAGGTTACAGGGGGGTTAGAAAGGGTTACAAGGGGTTACAGGGGATTACAAGGGGTTGCAAAACTTACACGGCGTTATAAGGGATGACAGGAGGTTACAGGGGATTACAAGGGGTTACAAATGGTTACAGGGGGTTACAAGGGGTTACAGGTGGTTACAAAGGGTTACAGGGGATTACAGAAAGTTACAGGAGATCACAAGGTGGTTACGAAGGGCTACAAGGGATTACAAAAAGTTACAGGAGTTTACAAGGGGTTACAAAGGGTTACAGTAGATTACAGGGGGTTACAAATGGTTGCAAGGGGTTACAGGGGGTTCCAAGGGGTTACGGAGGGTTACAAAAGGTTAAAAAAGGTTACAGGGTTACAGGGGGTTACAAAGGGTTTCAAGGGGTTACAGGGGATTACAAAAAGTTGCAAAAGTTACACGAGGCTACAAGGGAGTACAAAGGGTTACAGGGGATCACGAGGGGTTAAAAAGGGTTACAGGGCATTACAGGGGTTACAAAGGGTTACAAAAGGTTACAGGGGGTTACTTGACAATTATTCCTCGAGCCCGAATGGGCTCTGAGTCAATAACTATTGACTCAGAGGCCATTATGGTGAGAGGAATAATTGTTTTAGTAAAATCCAACTAGTTGGTTAAAAAATACCGAGACAAAACAACTCTTCTGGAAAGTTGACCTTGACCGCAGCGCAATCTGATAATTACTCGATCTGCACGAAACACTGGGAAAGCTTTCTGACCTCTAATAAATGTTAGATTCAGAGCTACGAAAGTAAGATTTTGTCAAATTTTAGAATACTTCATGCACTGCATAACCTTAGCGAAGGAAAGAAAAGATGGAAAACGGTAACTGTAGGGTCACGTTTTAGTGCTGTAAAGCTTGTCAACACTTTATTCCGCAACTGTTCATGGGTTACTTACTACGCAAATAAAACAATGGGAAAGGAATGTTGTTTTCGGTCGACCAGGCGTTTGTGGGGAGGGATGAAAAACGAGCCCCTAAAAACGCCTGCGTGGGAGGCAAAGTACTAGCTAAACCAACCAAACCGCAGTATTGATAATAGACCACTAGTTGGATTTTAATAAAAGGGCTTACAAGAGGTTACAAAAGGTTACAGGGGATTACGAAAGCTTACAGGGCATTACAGGGGTTACAGAGGGTTAAAAGGTTACAGGGGGTTACAAGAGGTTAAAAGGGGTTACAGGGGGTTACAAGGGGTTAAAAAAGGTTACAGGGGGTCACAAGGGGTTACGAGGGCTACAGTGGTTTACAAGGGGCTAAAGGGGGTTACAAAGGGTTACCAAAGGTTACAGGGGGTTACAAGGGGTAAGAGGAGGTTACAAGGGGTAACAGTGGGTTACAGGGGGGTCCAAAGAGTTACAGAGGATTATAGGGGGTTAGAGCGGATTACAAGGGGTTACAAAGGGTTACCAAAGTTTACAGGGGGTTACAAGGGGTTAAAGGGGGTTACAAGGAATTAGAAAAGGTTACAAGGGGTTACAGGGGGTTACAAGGGGTTACAAAAGGTTACAGGGGGTTACAGAGGATTACGAGGGGTTACGAAGGGTTACAGGGGATTACAGGGGCTACAAAGGGTTACAAAAGGTTACAGGGGGTTACAAGGAGTTTTGAAGGGTTATAAAGAATTACAGGGGTTACAAAGGTTTACAAAAGGTCACAGGGGGTTACAAAGGGTTACAGGGGATTACAAGGGGTTACAAAAGGTTACGGGGGTTATAAAGGGTTACAGGGGTTACAGGGGGTACAATGGGTTACAAAAGGTTGAAGGGGGTTACAAGGGATTATGAAGGGTTACAGGGCATTACAGGGGTTACAAAGGGTTACAGAGGGTTTTAAGGGGTTACAAGGACTTAAAGGGAATAAGTTATCTCTAAATGTGACTAAAAAATTTTTATGATTTTTCATCCAAGGCAAAAACAAAGTCAATTTTAATGTCCCTCTTACTCTGGAAAATACTCTGATCAAGCAAGTCACGGAGACAAAATTTTTAGGTGTTGTCATTGATCAGCATCTCTCTTGGAAACCACATATTGATTTCGTCTCAAAAAAATCTCGAAAAGTGTGGGAATTATTGCGAAAGCCCGCTTTTACCTGTCATCCCAAACCTTGATCGCCTTATATTACTCCCTTGTATATGCTTTCTTAACATACTGTAATGTCGCCTGGTCCTCCACCTACTGTTCCAACCTAAATTGTATGTACCTTTTGCAAAAGCGTCTAGTGCGGCTAATAATAAAAGCTGACTATCTAGCAAATACCGCCCCTTTATTTAACCTGCTTAAAGTCCTTGACATATTAGTATTAATTCAATTTCTGTCGCTACTTTTATGTATTCTTATCACTATAATCTTTTGCCTAGTAGCTTTCGTGACTTGTTCTTAAGTAGTAATCAAGTGCATCAATACGAAACTCGACTAGCCTCTCAGTATAGACTTAATTTTTGTAGAACAAATATAAAGCAATTCAGTATCCTTTATCGAGGACCTAAAATCTGGAATTCATTTCCTATTTCACTAATTGGCTCTCCTTCTATATTTGTTTTTTTTAAAAAATTAAAGAATTATCTCACTGATAGCCGATCTGTCGCTTAATTTTCTGATCTTGCTCACTCTGCACTGAGCCATGAATTTAGTTTATTAGGTAGTTGAAGGAAGCCTATTAATATAAGCTTCAAGCTTCGTTAGGCTTCCTTGTCACATTATTTTTATAATTTAATTAACAACTTTTGTTCATGTTGTATTAGGTTTTGTGAGTGACTAAATAAATAAATAAATAAATAAATAAATAACTAAACAAGGGGTTACAGGGGATTACAAGATGTTACAATAGGTTACAGGGGGCACAAAGGGTTACGAAGGGTTACAGGGGAATACAGGGGTTACAAAGGGTTACAAAAGGTTACAGTGGGTAACAAAGGGTTACAGGGGGTTACGAAGGGTTACAGGGAGTTACAAGGGGTTACATTAGACGGGTTAAAACGGTTACAGAAGGTTACAAGGGGTTACAAGGGGTTACAAAGGGTTACAGGGGATTACAGGGGTTACAAAGGGTTACAAAAGGTTAGAGTGGGTAACAAAGGGTTACAGGGAGTTACGAAGGGTTACAGGGAGTTACAAGGGGTTACGAAAGGTTACATAGGGTTTGAAAGGGTTACCGGGGGTTACAAGAAGTTACAAAGGGTTACAAAAGGTTTCAGAGGGTTATAAGGGGTTACAAAGGGTTACAGAACGTTACAAGGGGTTACAAGGAATAACTTGAATATTTACTAATATCTAAATAGGAGGCTTGCCACGACAAAACGGAATTATTATGGGAAATATTTGTAGACAATTTGCCCTACACGGTCAAACCCGTCTGTAGTGTGGCGTTAATTATTCGTAGGAAAAGTAGGAATAGCAAGTTTCTTTTGGCGCTGCGGTGAAGTATCAAACTTTGTTGAAAAGATGCCAATAAGCCTGAAGGCTTGTCGGGACCAATAAACACTGCATGTTCCGATGTGTCTGCTCACGGGAAAAAAAGACTTGACAAGCTGTTCCGACTGTCTGAAGAACTACTCCTTTTTTATTTCATTTACAGTGAATAGTGAATTCAAAACAATCTACAATGAATAAAAGACTCAAAAAGCACCAACAAGAGAGGCTTGTAAATAGTTATGTACAATTGTTTTTACTTTTTTTACAGTTAAAATTAATAGCAAATTCTTTTTGCTGAAAATCGTTTTATTTCTTCGACTCTCCGCCGTTCAGTAGATTCGCAACACTGAGGATATTGGTGATCTTTGGCTTCAAAATGTTTACAAATTTGCAATTTCTGTCCTGGAGACGTGTCATAGAAATAACCAGAGGGCGCAAACTTTATAACCTACAATAGGCGACAATATAAGTGGAGACACTTCACCCTAAATTGAGCTTTTTTACGTTTCACTGACTTTAAAAGGAGCAAATATAGCTTTTCCTGCGCCATCCCCTCTATGCAATTTTGTGCCGATGTTCGAGCTATCTGTAGAAAACAACAAACATCCAACTTTGAACGGAGGGGACAGGGGAGGGGTGCGGATTCTTTTGTTCTCTGAAGTTACCCTATTTGAGTACAATCTCAACTAAAAATTTTGTTTCACCGATTGAAGCCTTTGTTCAGTCGCCCCCTCCCCTCAGGAGTGGGACGTCTGTACACAGGCCAAACTTAACTGCGAATGGCTACTTCGTGCAAACCTCATCCCTCGCACATGCTGAGGTGAAACGAATTTTACCATCATTTACCATCAAGCCTCGTATACGAGTGGTGAAAAGAAATTTTTCCCTATGGAACATTATTTTAACATTGTTTAATTCAACCATTAAAGGTGAATGTTGCTGGGTAACGTAAATGATGCATATGATATACTGTTTAAACGAACCCACGTGATATGGAATATAAACTGGAGATGTTTAAGGGCTATTTCAAGCTATTTTTTTAACAAAAAAAGCTAAAACGCGACTTGGTATAAGCTTAATCCCAAAAATAATGGTAAAGTTTTTATTTTAGATCATATTTAGGCATCTTAACTGTTTCCTGTCGTCTCTTGCCACGGATGGCAAGGATGGACATGGATATTGAAACTCGAAAAATAGGGCCGAATTTTTCAAGACACCAAAAAAAAAGAAACACTCATCATGGTTATTTTCAACTGATAAATTTGACAGGAGCATTTTATGTTTGGTTAAAGTACTAAGTAACAACTTTGGCACGGAATTGACCTACAAGGAGCAATTTCCTCAGGGGCACCCGACTAGAATATAGTTCAAAACCACTTAAACGTATAAACATATCATTGTTGAATGTATTTTAGTATTCAAACGGTAGATATAGGAATATTTTTTTCTCCTAAAAATTTTTCATGTGTTCGGATTTCTTAGCTGAAAGTTTAGTGATGCGAAAATTATAGGGATCAAAACTTACCTTTTCGAAAATTTCAGCCAGAAAAAAGGCTTCCGAAAACTCTAGGTGACCTTTTTAAGGTAAAAATCCGTTAAGAATGGGCAATTATATCATTTTTTAGATGTTCGAAAATCCTAGGAGAGGCAGGCAAGAAATTTGACACCAAATGTTCCGAAAATTCTAGATCTCAAATCGTCTTCCGAACAGATATTTTCCAAAAATTGTCGTTGGGTGCCCCTGTTTCCTCGTGACTGTAACTACCGTAATTGTGTTAAGGGCAGACAGGTAAAAGTCTCTCGCTGCATCCTTTATGGCGCTTTTATTAAGGCCAACGAGCGTGAATGATGGTTCAGCCGTGAACAGAGATAAGTGTGATCATATTGTTGAGAATTTTCGTGGCTTCATACCAAGAAGAAGAGAGCGTTATTTTGGTTTAATTTGTTGGGATCCTTCATTTTTTCTTTTTTAGGTCCAGCATTTTTGGTTAAAGAAAAAAAAGCGCTTATTGACTCGTATAATTCAAAGATCAGTCTCTGGATTTGTGAGATGAGATAACCGAGCTCCTTCAATAATTATTCTGCTGACAATTGTAATATTTTAAAACTGTCTGCGGTGGATTGAATCCGGAAGTGAAGCATTGCCTCTTGACGTCGTCAAAAGGTCGTTGGCCCAGGAAACATTAAACACATTTATTCCAGCAAAATTGTATGGTTGGGACGTATAGGAAACCAGTGACGACAACTCGGCCTTTTTTCCTTTCACTAGATTACCGGCTATATCTTCTATTTTGATATGGCATTTCTCACGCCAGATAAAAACAGGCAAATCTTAAGGTAAAGTTTCAGCTGGTTTGTTGTGCGAGACAAGTAATGCTGTGTTTACACTCAAGCGTTTACCAAGGTAAACATTAACTGACTTAACCCTGGTACATTTGTACAGTGTTTATACGGGCTCAAATAACTAAGGTAAATCTGTCATCAATCACAATCTAATCGAATTGGCGACAAATTCTAAATCCACGCATAAATAGCCTCCCACGCAGGCGTTTTTAGGGGAGGGAAGATATACGAGCCCCCTAAAAACGCCTGCGTGGGAGGCTACGCATAAAATGCTCGCGTTTAAAAGAGAACCTGTGGTTCTTGTAGTCCTCGCGTTTTATGTTCTTGTTCTTGATCAGCAAACCCAGGAATCGAGATTGCAGCAGCTCTTACTTTTGCAGCACCTAAAGAGGTCGAGGCGAAAGCGATTAATTCTGCTACAAATTGCCCTTCGCAAGACAAGGCGCGTTAAACGTGCGTGGTCGTGGCTGAGAAACTAATTCTGGTTCGAAACTCTATTAAACGGAAATTTTGTTGAAGAATGGTGGAAGGAGAACTTAAGAATATCAAGACGTACGTTCGCAAACGTGATCGAATGAGACTGACGCAATCCCGACACCACAGGATGTGAAAATCTATGCGACCGCAAGCGGATGTATCTGTCATCCAAACCTTGGTTACCGACCTTAACCATGCCTGCTCGCAGGGTAAACCGAACTTTTAGGGACGGACCATTAGAAAACTTATGGGGGGGGGGGCGGGCGAAGTACAAAAAAAATATTCGCGCAAGGCAAAATTAGATGAAAAAAAATTCGTGCACGCCCATTAACCCTTAAAAATATTCATGCTACGGCCTAAAAAAAATTCATGCAAGGAATTTGATAACGAAAAAAAATTCCTGCGGCTCAAAAATTCCCCTCCCCCCCCATAACTTTTCTAATGGTCCGTCCCTTACCTTAGTTGACTTTCTATTGTCTTGAGCGATGTTTACCAGGGTATCAGTTGGCGTTTACACACGCAAAATATTTACCTAGGTAAGTTAACTCCAATAACTCGGTAGCACGCTCAAGTCTAAACACGGCATAAGTTTGAACTGGGATTCAACTGAACAGTACAACAGATCAGTGGCGGTGGCGGATCTAGGGGAGGGGCCCGGGCGGTGGGGGGCGGGCCTTCCCCTTGTTTTTAGAGCAAACGGAAGCCCGAAGGACCGAAAAAATGTTTTTTTGAGACCGGGTATCCCCCTCATATCAGGGTCTGGATGACTGCCCCCCATCTGAATGTCTGCATCCGCCACTGTAGATTCTAAGGTCAAGATATTTTTAGTAGATACCTTTGATGTCTTTGATAAATTATTGCATTTTATGGACTAACAAGCGAGTAGAAATTCTTCTTTGCATTATACTTCTATTTTCAACCAGTATGAAGTGCTACCTTTTCAACAGTGATTAATCTCGTAAGAAGCCGAATGAAGTCCCAACACTCAGTTGAACAAGTACCCTGGTAATTATATTTGCCCCGACCTTATTTACGATGGAAAATGGCTTTTACCAGGGTGGTTGTAACCGTAACTACCACGTCCAACGGAAATGTGTTGGTTGAATTCAACGCGTTTCAACATTGTACCCGTTATGTGATATCAAAAGTAAAGGTCGGACCAAAAATTCATAATCTTCCGGAAATTTTGTCGTTTTCTCTCGAAAAGTCCGAAGATTTTCGTTAAAGCGCACATTTGTTGGTGGTTTCATGGTTCAGTCCCATAAAAAAAGTTTGCTAACTACTAAAGAGTTCTCTCAGAGAGCCACTTTATACCTTGACTTCAATTCCATAGAAGCCTTCAATACTTGGCGTAATAGCATGTTTGAGTGAGTAGACATATAGACTGTTCCTGTGTTGTACATTCTTCATACAAGTTTCATAAAGAATGCAGCCAATGGAAGTGTCAACATAATAAATGTTATCTGGCCTCAGTACTAATGGCCCGTTTTCTAAAAATGCTTCATTGCCCTTTCCGTGCAGTTAAAAAAAAGGTATATGAAAAAAAAAGAGGTTTTTGGTAAGTGAGGAGATTGGAAGGGATAAGTTTGATACCGTATCACTCTTCTATTTGGGTGCATTGGTCATATCGTTTTTTTTACAGCAGATGAGTCCCCCTTCCTGTAGATTCCTTGTAAGTTGTTTTTTTTTGTTTTTTTTTTCCTGAATAACATTGCCAGTTATCGCCTATTGCCAATAACACTGACAAGTCCTCATTGTTCCTCGTCATAACGCCTTTTACAGAAAAAAAAACACATTTACGTCATCTGTAAATATGGAAGTTGTCATACCGGACAGGCAGATAGCAGCGAAAATCGAAGCATAGATACTGATCTATCATTCATCGGAAAGATATACACGAACTGGAAGTCATTCGCAGTGTAATTTGTCTGTATGCCAACAGCTTCTTTGCCATGGAAATTACAATCTTGGTCACTTTTTTCGCTGTAATACTGACAATGTCGGAAGGTATGTGATTTATTTCTGTCAATTATTTGCTCATTAATTTGTATGCCAACCCAGTGCTTACTTACAATGAAATTCGTAGTTACTGTTTACCCTGACCTAATAGGGTGCGCATGGCTCAAGAAGAGTAACCTGTGAATTTGCCATGTTCACGGGATTTTGATTGTCTTTTTTCGTAAAACTTCCCCATTCCCGTCAATAAACGTCGCATCCATGACTATTTCCCAGTTACCGATTTTATTGCATGACATACACTGCTGATGCCATAAATATCATCCGATAGCTGAGTCCAGACTGGCCTTCTATTATTTTATCTTGTGAATTCTCAGTTCTTGACTTATCTACATCCCAGTCTCACAGGTCTCCCTCTTACAGTTTTGCTTTCGTTTCTAAATTGGTAAGCTAACGTAACGAAGACGAAAAGCCTTACGTCCCATTTTAAGATACGATTTGTCAAGGAACGTTTGGCACCCAAGGTAGATAAATATAAGAGCATAAATTTTTTCTGAGTGGAATATATTTTTAGGATCAGTTCCACTTAAATTTACCCAATCTCATGCACCGTGATTAAAGTCCTTTGGGAATTTTTTGAATTTTGGAATGTGTTGTTGGTGCATTGCCACTTGCTGAGGTTAATAGCATGTTTTTATAAGCCAAAATAGGTAACCAGTGAAAGTTTTTTCTGTCAATATAATTTGAAACTGATTTAAAAACTTATAGCAGAAGCAATAACAGTGTTGTTCACCAAAGTATAAGATTCATAGATTTGCCACAACAACCTTAGACAACTGCTCCCCATAGCGTTTTCAACTCGCTCAGAGACCGTCAGACTATACGGCTACAATGTATTGTTTTACCCCTAAAAACATTTAAAAACTGGCCTTGTATTCGATAAGCCTCTTTTGTTGACTGGGCTAACTTAATTGAGCACTTGTCCCACTTGGTGCACACTCCGTGTGGAATCAGGAGCTGGTGTCGAGCCAGCAATAGCATTTCCGCCGACAAGATGTTTCCTGTCTTTATTTTAAACAGTGGCAACACAATTACGTCGTTAAAATAAAACAAATTGACGTGGGTCTGCTGCTGTCGTATTGGTGACGAATTTTTTTCCTGTATCTATTTTACATACTAAAAAGACAATTTCGTCGTTAAAATAAAACAAATTGACATGGATCCGCTGTCGTATTGATGACGAATAGTTTTTTGGCAACTGTGTCGTGGTTTTGAAGTGGATTAACTCGATTAACCTTGCAACAGGTTTTTATTATGTTTTGCGATTTCATCCTCGTTAAAATGAAAGACTTATAAGGTTTAAGATTGTAATCCAGAATCTAAGTTCCACCGACAACATTAAGTATTGAAGAATCGATACCTATATTAAAAGTACATATTTGCAATCCTGGGCCAAGATTCGTGCTTAGGCTATAATTAAAATCGATGGAAAAAAAAACTCGGTCTGTAATTTACAGTTGTACTGACCTCAAACTCGGCTAATATTAATTAGACGCGAAGCTAAAAAAAAGAAACTTTGTGTGCACATGACCATGATCAAGACCACGAGTCCAGCACGAGTAGTTGCTTGTTGTCTCAGAGACAGAAAATAAGCATATGAAACACATGACGGGGCATAATATCGCGTTCTCGCCTTCCGCAAGGCAACAGTAAATGTTATAATTTTCGCGATAGCCTGTTTCCAGGGGCACACAACGACGGTTTCCTCCTAAGTACATTGAAAACATTTTTTAGGCTATCCAGAGTACTTTTAGATCTCTAGAAATGCATTCTAAGCGGCACTATAAATTTTGTCTCTGTCCGGTCAAACTGTATAGAAGGACTTGAGTCTTTCCGAAATTACAAGGGCTTCAGTATTTAATTTATTTTCCCGAAAATTTAGATGCAATTTAACGTTTTACGAAAGTTAGAAGTTTTCGTTTTCCTCTCCCCGTGACATTTTTGAATCGAAGAATTTTAGGTTTCCTTTTTCTACGAAAATTAGCCTCACATGGGGAGTAAAATCAGGGGCACCCAACGAGAATATAGTTCAAAACCACTTAAACATAGCATTGTTGAACGTATTTTAGTATTTAAACGGTAGATATAGACATATTTTTATCCCCTAAAAATTTTCATCTGTTCGGATTTCCTAGCTGAAAGTCTAGTGATGCGAAAATTATAGGGATCAAAACTTACCTTTTCAAAATTTCAGCCAGAAAAAAGGCTCCCGAAAACTCTAGGTGACCTTTTTAAGGTAAAAATCCGTTAAGAATGGGCAATTATATCATTTTTTAGATGTTCGAAAATCCTAGGAGAGGCAGGCAAGAAATTGTACATCAAATGTTCCGAAAATTCTAGATCTCAAATCGTCTTCCGAACAGATATTTTCAAAAAATTATCGTTGGGTGCCCTTGTTTCCTCGTGACTGTAACTACCGTAATTGTGTTAAGGGCAGACAGGTAAAAGTCTCTCGCTGCATCCTTTATGGCGCTTTCATTAAGGCCAACGAGCGTGAATGATGGTTCAGCCGTGAACAGAGATAAGTGTGATCATATTGTTGAGAATTTTCGTGGCTTCATACCAAGAAGAAGAGAGCGTTATTTTGGTTTAATTTGTTGGGATCCTTCATTTTCTTTTTTAGGTCCAGCATTTTTGGTTAAAGAAAAAAGCGCTTATTGACTCGTATAATTCAAAGATCAGTCTCTGGATTTGTGAGATGAGATAACCGAGCTCCTTCAATAATTATTCTGCTGACAATTGTAATATTTTAAAACTGTCTGCGGTGGATTGGAATCCGGAAGTGAAGCATTGCCTCTTGACGTCGTCAAAAGGTCGTTGGCCCAGGAAACATTAAACACATTTATTCCAGCAAAAATTGTATGGTTGGGACGTATAGGAAACCAGTGACGACAACTCGGCCTTTTTTCCTTTCACTAGATTACCGGCTATATCTTCTATTTTGATATGGCATTTCTCACGCCAGATAAAAAACAGGCAAATCTTAAGGTAAAGTTTCAGCTGGTTTGTTGTGCGAGACAAGTAATGCTGTGTTTACACTCAAGCGTTTACCAAGGTAAACATTAACTGACTTAACCCTGGTACATTTGTACAGTGTTTATACGGGCTCAAATAACTAAGGTAAATCTGTCATCAATCACAATCTAATCGAATTGGCGACAAATTCTAAATCCACGCATAAATAGCCTCCCACGCAGGCGTTTTTAGGGGAGGGAAGATATACGAGCCCCCTAAAAACGCCTGCGTGGGAGGCTACGCATAAAATGCTCGCGTTTAAAAGAGAACCTGTGGTTCTTGTAGTCCTCGCGTTTTATGTTCTTGTTCTTGATCAGCAAACCCAGGAATCGAGATTGCAGCAGCTCTTACTTTTGCAGCACCTAAAGAGGTCGAGGCGAAAGCGATTAATTCTGCTACAAATTGCCCTTCGCAAGACAAGGCGCGTTAAACGTGCGTGGTCGTGGCTGAGAAACTAATTCTGGTTCGAAACTCTATTAAACGGAAATTTTGTTGAAGAATGGTGGAAGGAGAACTTAAGAATATCAAGACGTACGTTCGCAAACGTGATCGAATGAGACTGACGCAATCCCGACACCACAGGATGTGAAAATCTATGCGACCGCAAGCGGATGTATCTGTCATCCAAACCTTGGTTACCGACCTTAACCATGCCTGCTCGCAGGGTAAACCGAACTTTTAGGGACGGACCATTAGAAAACTTATGGGGGGGGCGGGCGAAGTACAAAAAAAATATTCGCGCAAGGCAAAATTAGATGAAAAAAAATTCGTGCACGCCCATTAACCCTTAAAAATATTCATGCTACGGCCTAAAAAAAATTCATGCAAGGAATTTGATAACGAAAAAAAATTCCTGCGGCTCAAAAATTCCCCTCCCCCCCCATAACTTTTCTAATGGTCCGTCCCTTACCTTAGTTGACTTTCTATTGTCTTGAGCGATGTTTACCAGGGTATCAGTTGGCGTTTACACACGCAAAATATTTACCTAGGTAAGTTAACTCCAATAACTCGGTAGCACGCTCAAGTCTAAACACGGCATAAGTTTGAACTGGGATTCAACTGAACAGTACAACAGATCAGTGGCGGTGGCGGATCTGGGGAGGGGCCTGGCGGTGGGGGCGGGCCTTCCCCTTGTTTTAGAGCAAACGGAAGCCCGAAGGACCGAAAAAATGTTTTTTTGAGACCGGGTATCCCCCTCATATCAGGGTCTGGATGACTGCCCCCCCATCTGAATGTCTGCATCCGCCACTGTAGATTCTAAGGTCAAGATATTTTTAGTAGATACCTTTGATGTCTTTGATAAATTATTGCATTTTATGGACTAACAAGCGAGTAGAAATTCTTCTTTGCATTATACTTCTATTTTCAACCAGTATGAAGTGCTACCTTTTCAACAGTGATTAATCTCGTAAGAAGCCGAATGAAGTCCCAACACTCAGTTGAACAAGTACCCTGGTAATTATATTTGCCCCGACCTTATTTACGATGGAAAATGGCTTTTACCAGGGTGGTTGTAACCGTAACTACCACGTCCAACGGAAATGTGTTGGTTGAATTCAACGCGTTTCAACATTGTACCCGTTATGTGATATCAAAAGTAAAGGTCGGACCAAAAATTCATAATCTTCCGGAAATTTTGTCGTTTTCTCTCGAAAAGTCCGAAGATTTTCGTTAAAGCGCACATTTGTTGGTGGTTTCATGGTTCAGTCCCATAAAAAAAGTTTGCTAACTACTAAAGAGTTCTCTCAGAGAGCCACTTTATACCTTGACTTCAATTCCATAGAAGCCTTCAATACTTGGCGTAATAGCATGTTTGAGTGAGTAGACATATAGACTGTTCCTGTGTTGTACATTCTTCATACAAGTTTCATAAAGAATGCAGCCAATGGAAGTGTCAACATAATAAATGTTATCTGGCCTCAGTACTAATGGCCCGTTTTCTAAAAATGCTTCATTGCCCTTTCCGTGCAGTTAAAAAAAAGGTATATGAAAAAAAAAGAGGTTTTTGGTAAGTGAGGAGATTGGAAGGGATAAGTTTGATACCGTATCACTCTTCTATTTGGGTGCATTGGTCATATCGTTTTTTTTACAGCAGATGAGTCCCCCTTCCTGTAGATTCCTTGTAAGTTGTTTTTTTTTTCCTGAATAACATTGCCAGTTATCGCCTATTGCCAATAACACTGACAAGTCCTCATTGTTCCTCGTCATAACGCCTTTTACAGAAAAAAAAACACATTTACGTCATCTGTAAATATGGAAGTTGTCATACCGGACAGGCAGATAGCAGCGAAAATCGAAGCATAGATACTGATCTATCATTCATCGGAAAGATATACACGAACTGGAAGTCATTCGCAGTGTAATTTGTCTGTATGCCAACAGCTTCTTTGCCATGGAAATTACAATCTTGGTCACTTTTTTCGCTGTAATACTGACAATGTCGGAAGGTATGTGATTTATTTCTGTCAATTATTTGCTCATTAATTTGTATGCCAACCCAGTGCTTACTTACAATGAAATTCGTAGTTACTGTTTACCCTGACCTAATAGGGTGCGCATGGCTCAAGAAGAGTAACCTGTGAATTTGCCATGTTCACGGGATTTTGATTGTCTTTTTCGTAAAAACTTCCCCATTCCCGTCAATAAACGTCGCATCCATGACTATTTCCCAGTTACCGATTTTATTGCATGACATACACTGCTGATGCCATAAATATCATCCGATAGCTGAGTCCAGACTGGCCTTCTATTATTTTATCTTGTGAATTCTCAGTTCTTGACTTATCTACATCCCAGTCTCACAGGTCTCCCTCTTACAGTTTTGCTTTCGTTTCTAAATTGGTAAGCTAACGTAACGAAGACGAAAAGCCTTACGTCCCATTTTAAGATACGATTTGTCAAGGAACGTTTGGCACCCAAGGTAGATAAATATAAGAGCATAAATTTTTTCTGAGTGGAATATATTTTTAGGATCAGTTCCACTTAAATTTACCCAATCTCATGCACCGTGATTAAAGTCCTTTGGGAATTTTTTGAATTTTGGAATGTGTTGTTGGTGCATTGCCACTTGCTGAGGTTAATAGCATGTTTTTATAAGCCAAAATAGGTAACCAGTGAAAGTTTTTTCTGTCAATATAATTTGAAACTGATTTAAAAACTTATAGCAGAAGCAATAACAGTGTTGTTCACCAAAGTATAAGATTCATAGATTTGCCACAACAACCTTAGACAACTGCTCCCCATAGCGTTTTCAACTCGCTCAGAGACCGTCAGACTATACGGCTACAATGTATTGTTTTACCCCTAAAAACATTTAAAAACTGGCCTTGTATTCGATAAGCCTCTTTTGTTGACTGGGCTAACTTAATTGAGCACTTGTCCCACTTGGTGCACACTCCGTGTGGAATCAGGAGCTGGTGTCGAGCCAGCAATAGCATTTCCGCCGACAAGATGTTTCCTGTCTTTATTTTAAACAGTGGCAACACAATTACGTCGTTAAAATAAAACAAATTGACGTGGGTCTGCTGCTGTCGTATTGGTGACGAATTTTTTTTCCTGTATCTATTTTACATACTAAAAAGACAATTTCGTCGTTAAAATAAAACAAATTGACATGGATCCGCTGTCGTATTGATGACGAATAGTTTTTTGGCAACTGTGTCGTGGTTTTGAAGTGGATTAACTCGATTAACCTTGCAACAGGTTTTTATTATGTTTTGCGATTTCATCCTCGTTAAAATGAAAGACTTATAAGGTTTAAGATTGTAATCCAGAATCTAAGTTCCACCGACAACATTAAGTATTGAAGAATCGATACCTATATTAAAAGTACATATTTGCAATCCTGGGCCAAGATTCGTGCTTAGGCTATAATTAAAATCGATGGGAAAAAAAAACGGTCTGTAATTTACAGTTGTACTGACCTCAAACTCGGCTAATATTAATTAGACGCGAAGCTAAAAAAAAGAAACTTTGTGTGCACATGACCATGATCAAGACCACGAGTCCAGCACGAGTAGTTGCTTGTTGTCTCAGAGACAGAAAATAAGCATATGAAACACATGACGGGGCATAATATCGCGTTCTCGCCTTCCGCAAGGCAACAGTAAATGTTATAATTTTCGCGATAGCCTGTTTCCAGGGGCACACAACGACGGTTTCCTCCTAAGTACATTGAAAACATTTTTTAGGCTATCCAGAGTACTTTTAGATCTCTAGAAATGCATTCTAAGCGGCACTATAAATTTTGTCTCTGTCCGGTCAAACTGTATAGAAGGACTTGAGTCTTTCCGAAATTACAAGGGCTTCAGTATTTAATTTATTTTCCCGAAAATTTAGATGCAATTTAACGTTTTACGAAAGTTAGAAGTTTTCGTTTTCCTCTCCCCGTGACATTTTTGAATCGAAGAATTTTAGGTTTCCTTTTTCTACGAAAATTAGCCTCACATGGGGAGTAAAATCAGGGGCACCCAACGAGAATATAGTTCAAAACCACTTAAACATAGCATTGTTGAACGTATTTTAGTATTTAAACGGTAGATATAGACATATTTTTATCCCCTAAAAATTTTCATCTGTTCGGATTTCCTAGCTGAAAGTCTAGTGATCCGAAAATTATAGGGATCAAAACTTACCTTTTCGAAAATCTCAGCCAGAAAAAAGGCTCCCGAAAACTCTAGGTGACCTTTTTAGGGTAAAAAAACGTTAAAAATGGGCAATTATATCATTTTTGGGGGGCTCGAAAATCCTAGGAGAGGCGGGCAAGCAAGAAATTTAACAACAAATGTTCCAAAAATTCTAGATCTCAAATCGTCTTCCGAACAGATATTTTCCAAAAATTGTCGTTGGGTGCCCCTGTAAAATGCGTCGAAAATTGTTACCTGAATGGAACGGTCATCTAGAAATTTTTAGCCGTCCTCAAGCTATATAGAAAATTCTAGGCAATATTAGCTTCCCCCAACAGATAATTCATGATGATTTACAGAAAACAGTCGTTGAGTGCCCCTGTGATTCATTCTACTATCGTCTCTCTTTCGTTCGCTTAAGCAGAGTTGGTTGATTATTGAAATAAATGTTTTTCGTTAGGGATGTAGAATTGTTTGTAAGACTTCTTGTGGGCACTAGTGACCTTTAGATGTTACTATGAATTCACCTTTCAATTCCCATGCAAGAAAGCGCTTGATTTCGATGAACCTGCAGTTACATATAACAACAGATCGCTAGGCCTTCAGAAACACAACAAGGGTGTTAAAAGGACAATCTGAGAGACGCATACTTGGTTTGAAAAACCGTTCTCGCTCTCTGATTTAAAGGTCCCCACATTTGCTGGGTGCCACTTGGTGCCTGTGACGTGAAACTTCTTCTACAGACTACAGAGACAATGAAATGCTGGTTCAATGGCGCTGTAGGTCTGGGCTCATAGTAACAGTTTACGTTCAGCTGACCTTCTTTTCTTGCATTTTAGGTAAAATGTCATTCAAGGACCAATGCATTTACTGGCACAACTACTTCCGCACTCTCCATCAGGTAAATACCTGACTGAAAAGACGGTACCTGCTAAAAACTTTAAATCATCAACGATGAGGCTTCAAGAATTTATGGGTAAATGTTTATCAGCATTGCAAATTCAAAGGATTTTTTTTCTTGAAGAGACTATCACAACCTTCTCGAATTTACGAATGCATATCGTTTACGAATGCATATCCCGGGAGTACTTTGTTTTAAGTATGCCGATTTTTAAATCTTCTCAGAAAACTTTTAGGTTTCATCTTATCACGATTTTCAAGACTACTACACAATGTACTCTCTATAACTAGAGAGATCTCTGAAGAAACATGTACCCAAAAGTGAGTTAGTCGGCTTATCGCCAAGAAAACTTAAGTCCTTTTGAACCTTGTTTGAATGAATCGGTGAGAGAAACTCTTGATAATGTAAGCTTATATAGAAAAAAAAAAGATTTGCCATGCTAATAAACCTCTACCCAGAAATCCATTAGGCCTTATCGTTCGAGTTTTGTACTTTTCAAAAGACAGCGTTTTTTCAATCAGGAGCATATACTTTCTCATTGTTGTACGTTCCAGGTAATGGTTGCTAACCATCTTTTCGTTGAAGAAATCGTATCTTTTGGAATGCAGGCGCTCACAGCTCACTAAGCAAACTTTCTGGCTGTAAACTTGATAAACGTTGCTCGACCGCTTGGATTTTTTTATGAATAAATCATTCACATCAGTATAAACGCTTTTCTCCAGGTCCCTAATGTCACGTGGTCAACAAGCCTTCAGAAAGAGGCAGAGGACTGGGTCAAATATCTGGCTGAAAACGACAAGTTTGAACATAGCCAAAAGAATCCTGGGAATTTATATCTGTCCCATCCTAACGATTACCCACCAGAGTATTGTACTGATGCTATACAGTGGTTTCATGAGGAGGAAAAGTACTATAATTACAGTAGACCCGGTTATGTTCTAAAAGCGGGACATTTTACAACGGTATGTCACGAGCATTATACATACCCTTAAGAAGATATATAAAATGTAGAGAAACACAGGCTCAATTAGTTTCGCTGCCATTGTTGTTTTCATCTTGCCAGGTAGTCTGGAGAAACTCAAGAGAAATTGGGGCAGCGTGGGCCATACGTAAAGACAAGAGGCTTGTTATTTCTATTAAGTACCACCCTGGAGGCAACTATGTTGGGTACTTTAAAAATAATGTCTTCCGACCCGTCGCGACCGTACTTGGACCTGAATGGCCATATCATCCGCCCAGGTTTACAAGGTGCCCTGCAAAGTTCGTAAAGCAGACAACAACCGCCGTTCCAAGAACAACGCCGACCTCGGAGCCGAACACGACGCAGATCACGGTACCAACCACGTCACCAAGTATGTGCTATACATTACAAACCACCAGTGCACCATTAAGTCAAGAAAAAATACGGTTAAACGTTAACCGTGGCTCTAGTAGTGACAAAAGATTTTTTTCTTTCATTCTGGCGGTTTGCTGTATGAAGGAGTGTCTCTGACTTCAAGGTCTGTTTTGACAGCTTGCATATTGAAGTTGTGAAAGTTCTTTCAAGACCAGGATCAAGTCATTTAACCGTAGACCATGAAAGTTTTCCAAATGCATTTGTTTTTTTTTTCGGGGGTTTTGTTTTGACTGTGTAAATAGGTCCTTGCACGAGCTAAAGTTCAGTGATGGTGAGAGGTGGTTTATCATGATCATCTTCATCATCATCAACATCATCCCTGCCGCCACCAAATCATCGTCATCACATCATTATGATCATTGTTCCGAGTGAACATGATTTAAGAGCGGGGGAAAGTACTCATCGCTGGCAAAGATCCGCGGCTTGCCCATTAAGTTATCAGATATTTCAAAAGGCTAGTCTCTCCTCTGTTGGGTTTGTAATTTTTGAAAGCTAAGAGCGTCCTTTTACTGTGGTGAAGTATGAGGTTTTGTAAATAATGACGTATCGTTTTTATTAATGAAGCACTTTTTTATTTCACATTTCCAGGTAAAGTACCATTTAAAGACCAGTGTCTTTTTTGGCACAATTATTTTCGTACCCTTCATCAGGTATAAATTTTTAATTTCTTCGTTCCACTGCCCTTTTGAACACCTGCCGCAAATGATAGGTAAAGAGACGCCAACAGTATTCCTCCTTATTTTCTAAACTGCGTACCGAAAATAACTTATTTATGCTCTAAACTCGGTAATAATGAAACACACACAAGCAAATACAAAACACAATAATGAATTTATTGTATAGGAGGAATAGGTCGGCAGTGGTATAATACGACCTCCTAACAAACACAACTTACATGATACAGAAGTATAAATGATAGGAAAAATACAAACTGAATCTAAACTCACTCGTACAAAAATTGAATAAATTAAATTCCAATGTGTAAAGGAACATAAAGACGCGAGTCGACTTTATCGCGGACGTAGCCGTCTTTAGCTGAATCTGACTTCCACCTTCCGTAAACTTTGAAAAGCCGATCTGGAACACTCTGATTAGCAGCGGAAGTATCTCCTCCGGACCTAAAGCTGTGATTACTAAACTTAGAAGGGTCTAATCCAATAGCTTTCAACTTCTCCTTAAGAATTTCTCCCGCCCTGCCAGCAGTGAGAGGCTTTGAAGAGAAGAAATTGCCCTTCAAATTCTTGTCGTACCGTAAGGATCTGAAAAATAATGAAATTCTGAGAAAAACAAGGAATCCTGGCAGCTTCTAAGTACTTAATAAGGTATGTATAAGGGCAAGTAAAATTGCCAGTCTTGGCAATATAAACCCAGGAACCCTCTCTGTACTTGTCAGTCTTGCTAACTTCTATGAAAATCTTATGATAAAGACCTTCAGTTACAATATTAGATCTACTAATGCTTAAAAGCTCGGAAATGCGGAAAAAGCCAGCATATGCGAGTAAACACATACAGACAAACCTGATATCAAGTAAGTTACTACTTTCCCCATAATGCTGCAAAATTAAGCCAAGGATCTCTGGGGTAATGGGCTCCGCCTTCGTGACAGGTTTACGAGGAGCACGACTGGAAGCCTCAACAATAGACCTGACAAGAAAGTTGTCACACGGATTTGGATTCTCAAAAACTGATAACTTATGTACCCAGTTAATAGCGTAAAAAACGCCGTAAGTGGTGGAACTACTTAACGAATTTTCTAATAAATGATGCAAATACAAGGAAACTGTGAAAGAAGTAGCTGGGAGAAAAGAAACCTCCCCAGTGCTATGCAAGCACCACGCTTTAAACTTACAAAATGATTTACAATAATTAATAACTGTGTTATCAGCTCGGGAATTAAAGGCAGAGAGCCAAAACTTCTCACATAGTAAAACACCAAACGTCCGACTGGCAGCTGCTTTAACATCTGAAGCAAAAAATAGAGAAAATAAAATGACAAAAATGACCAAAGAAAAAATATATCAGAAAAATACAACACGTAGTGAAACAAGGTAAGGTTCGGTCCAAGTGGTCCCAAGAAAAACACAGAAAAATATTACCACTAAGGGCCAAAGTGGCCCCTACGTAATAAAAAAGACCAAGTGGTCCACAAAACAAGGATCCAAGTGCATCCCAAAATACTTGGATACCATGTGGTATGAGTGTAAGAACTCTATAAACTGCAGAGAAACCCCCTACAAATCTGAAAAAAAAAAAGGGGGGGTAACTAAGGCCTCTCTAGGAAAACCGCATGAACAAAAGACCTGAACGCAAATTAGGTGATCCAAAAAGGGAATTTTATAATTACCCAAAACGAAAACATCAGTACCTAAGGGGATCTCGAAAATATCAGAGAATATGGGAGACAAACCCTCGTTGGTAAAAATTAAAGGCCAAAATGGGACGGATTAGGCCAAGCAGGAACAACAAGTGTAGCGCGACCGCCAAGGGCAACCATGTGATTAAGGACCTTGGGGATGAGAAAAATAGGTGGAACGAGCCAATTATTCTCGCCCGCCCTAGAAACAGAAAAGGCATCAACCGCCTCTGTACCAGGGCACCAAAACCTGCTATTAAACGGGGCAACTGAGTATTCTCATGATTCGCAAACCGGTCCACAGAGTGAGGACCCCATTTCTCTTCGGCCAAAAGGAAATAGTCCCTGTTGACCCGCCAATCATCATAATCCACAATTCTGCTCAAAAAATCGGCTCTATCATTAGCCGATCTCGGAATCCATTCAACTTCCAATGTGATGCAACTGAGCAAGCACATACTGAAAATACGTAAAGCTAGGCATTGCAAATCTTCCTTCATGCTTCCTACTTCAACAAATCTAGCAACACTCTGATAATCAGTATACCACTTAACAGTGTGCCCTTTAAGTAAAGACAAAAAAGATTCTAGACCCAGGCAAACAGCCTTAAGTTCCCTGTAAGAGGAGCTCTTCTGCGCCTCATCAACACCCCACAACTTGTGAGATATGGTGTTGTGAAGATCTAACATATAATTGGCACAGCCTGTAGGACTCGCATCGGAATAACACACACGGGAATAACGGAACTGTGTAGACAAGAGGCGCCTACTGTTTAGGAAAGGAATGTTCTCTTTCCAAAAACGTAATTCATTCAGAGTTGAAACCGACAGGGAAATTTTTTCCCGTCCCATGTAGGGCTTCTAAAAATATCAAAATGAGAATACCTTGTCATAATACGAGTAATGTTACCAAAGACGAAACCCATTGAGATAATCTTACCGACAAACTGAGCCAATTTTCTAGCAGTACTAAAAGGATACAGAGAACGAATTGAATCAATAACCTGTACGACACTGAGAATCCTAACTGAAGGAATGAAAATAGTATGAACGGCTAACAACCCAAGAAAACCCTAAAAAAGTTGATGTTACTGCAAAATATCAATATGGTGGTAGCCAGATTGAGATCAAATTTACACATGAAATGATCAGAAGGAAGATAAACACAAGCGTTTCTAATATCCTCAAACTTAAACTTTTCTTTTCATATATGTTTATTGACATGCCTGAGGTCTAAAAACAACCTCTTCTTGCCGCAACTCTGTATGGAAACAGACAAGGGATTGACAACATGAGGAGGACTAGATACTTGAACAACTGAACCTGACAAAATAAGCTCTTGGATAGCCTTCAGAACAAAATCAGCGTGCATAAGTGCTGAATGATTATTGTCAAAAAACGCATTCTGAGGAAATGTAATAAAGGGTATGGCATACCCCTTGTCAATAACCTGGAGAATGAAATCATTTGCACCTTACGCGTTCGCCCAAAAACTAAAATGAGCTTTAAGCCTACCCTTAACCGATAGAATACTATTGGGAGAATTCTCAAATTCAAAACACACCTCTAAAGCTGGACCTTCGTCAAAAATACCTTCAAGAGTTTCTTTTACTGCTTTACTATCAGCAATGGAACTACTGCTGCCCAGAAGAACCGCTGTCTTTACTTGACAAACTTTGGATCTGTTTGTAGGTTGATCCGGCAGTGAAGAATAAGTTGGGGCAACTTGCTCTCAAATGGCCGGTCTTGCCGCAGGCGAAGCAGATGTCATAACGGCCTTTAACAAAGGCGCCCTTTGACATTTGAGGACGAAAATTAGTAAAATTTCTTGGAGTGATAGAGGAGACAGCCGATGAAAACCCCGAGGAAGTCTCTGGACGCTGAATGACCTGTAAAGAAAAAAGGAAGAAAGAGGAAACTAAGTGACGGTCGATTATAGCCACTGAAATGACCTAAAGTGAGAGCACAACACGTGGTGAACCTATTTAAACACAACCCAACAATAAGAGTGATGAACACGCCTGAATGCGGTACGCATTACGTAACCTCCATTCGCACGCATAATTCCCAACGCACCGAGCATAAATACATTTATTTTCTAAACTGCGTACCGAAAATAACTTATTTATGCTCTAAACTCGGTAATAATGAAACACACACAAGCAAATACAAAACACAATAATGAATTTATTGTATAGGAGGAATAGGTCGGCAGTGGTATAATACGACCTCCTAAACGCTAAAGAAAATAAAGAACGGGCAAAGCAAACGAATAAAAGTAACAGATAAAATACTCAGCTTCTGTCCCGACTTCGCACAGCGAGCGTTCTTC